ACCAGGGTGTTTTCATTTACACTGTGTTACCCTATTGTGCATTTAAGAGGGGGAATTGGTAATCTTTTTCTTAAAAGGACAAATAGTAAGTATTTTAAGCTTTGTAAGCCATACTGTCTTCTGTTAACTCTTTGTGACACAAAAGCAGACATAAGTCATTAGTAAATAAATGAGTGTGGTTATATTCCAGTAAAACTTTATTTACTAAAATAGTCCCACTGGTAGTTTGCCAAACCCTAAACCTTTAAAGGATTGTTTGATACAATGTTGGTGAGGAGAAATGCATGTACTTGTGTGGTTTTTATTGTTTGTTTGTTTTGTTTTGTTTCTTTTTTTCTTTTTTTTTGGCGAGCAAAAGCAAAGTGATAGTACAAAGCTCCCGAGGAGAGAGGGGACCCAAGAGGGTTGCCTGCAATATATGTACTTGTGCAGGAACCTAGTAGTATGTCAGATACAGTTTTTACATTAATTTCCAGTATTTTGTGCTCTTCGTTGATTTTCTTGTGGATCATAAGGAAGTAAAGAACTAAAGGACTAAAATTTAGTCTGAGAACTTACTTGATGAGAGAAGTAAACCCAGAGACAGAATGGGGACAGTAGCTTCAGGAGGAAATGGAGGGGACAGATTAGCCCATGGAACCTTCTAAGAAGACAGAGAACATAACCTGTCTGGGACTGAGGTCTAATTAATGTGGGGAGGTAGTGATGGATGTGGCTGTGTGGGGTGGGGTAGGATAAGGGATATGATGATGTGATAGCATAGGGATCTGTTTTAGTAAAAAGAACCCAGTGGTTTTGAAGCATGGAGAGTTTTTGGTTGGAATCATGGCCTTGCCACTTAAGTAATGGACTAACTTGAGTGGGCTTAGGCAAGGCACTTTCCTCTTCAAGCCCGTTATTTTTTTTTAAGAAATTCATTTTTTTAAGTAATCTCTACACCCAATGTGGGGATCAGGCTTAGAACCCTGAGATCAAGAGTTGCATGCTGTACTAACTGAGCCAGCCAGGCACCTCTCAGTTACATTTTTTATAAAATGATGATGTCATCACTTACCTTGAAGTAAAGATTAGAAATTAATGAATGTTAAATGGCTGAACTGTGACTTGCATGCACATAGTAAACCCATGTTATTCCGTATCATTTCTTTGGTCTTATTTGTGTTTAAAAATGTCATTGGTGGGGTGCCTGGGTGGCTCAGTGGGTTAAGCCTCTGCCTTCGGCTCAGGTCGTGATCCCAGGGTCCTGGGATCGAGCCCCACATCGGGCTCTCTGCTCAACGGGGAGCCTGCTTCCTCCTCTCTCTCTGCCTGCCTCTCTGCCTACTTGTGATCTCTCTCTCTGTGAAATAAATAAATAAAATATTTAAAAAAATGTCATTGGTGGGGGCACCTGGGTGGCTCAGTGGGTTAAAGCCTCTGCCTTTGGCTCAGGTCGTGATCCCAGGGTCCTGGGTTCGAGCCCTACATCAGGCTCTCTGCTCAGAGGGGAGCCTGCCTCCTCCTCTCTCTCTCTACCTGCCTCTGTGCCTACTTGTGATCTCTGTCTGTCAAATAAATAAATAAAATCTTTAAAAAAATGTAAAAAAATGTCATTGGTGGGTACCTGGGTGGCTTAGTGGGTTAAGCCTCTGCCTTCAGCTCAGGTCATGGTCTCAGGGTCCTGGGATCAATGCCCGCACTGGGCTCTCTGCTCAGCAGGGAGCCTGCTTCCCTGTCTCTCTGCTGCCTGCCTCTCGGCCTACTTGTGATTTCTCTCTCTGTCAAATAAGTAAATAAATAATTCTTAAAAAAAAAAAAAATCATTGGTGTTTGAAAATTTAGATGCTATCTAATAGGGCTTTATTAAAGGCATAATCTTTTTGCTTCAGAGCATAAAATTGCTAACCATTAACTGTCACAGGTACAGATACATATATACTTATTTCAGAATGTATTTTAGCTTATTTCTTTTCTCCAAGAGAGATTTTTTTTTAAGATTTTATTTATTTATTTGTCAGAGAGAGAGCACAAGCAGGCAGAGTGGCAGGGAGAGGCAGAGAGAGAAGCAGGCTCCCCGCTGAGCAAGGAGCCCGATGTGGGACTCGATCTCAGGACCCTGGGATCATGACTTGAGCCGAAGGCAGCGGCTTAACCCGCTGAGCCACCCAAGCACCCCCAAGAGAGATTTTTTAAAACATTATTATTTGAGGGGAACATTTTAAGTCATTATTTGGCTGGTGGTTTTAATTTCTTTTGAAATACTTACTTGGGAAAAACTCACCAGCTTTATCACTTACAGGTGTATTGTCTAAAACTGAGGAGTTAGAAAAATTGCATTGGTTGAAGGGTTTAACAAGCCCTGTAATTATATTGGGAGCTCTGTAGGTATATAATTTTGATAACTATTTCAGCCTCTACCATTAACTTTCTGTTTTTATTTTTTTTTTTAAGAATTTATTTATTCATTTGACAGACAGAGATCACAAGTAAGCAGAGAGGCAGGCAGAGAGAGAGAGAGAGGAGGAAGCAGGCTCCCTGCCTAGCAGAGAGCCCGATGCGGAACTCGATCCCAGGACCCTGAGATCATGACCTGAGCCGAAGGCAGAGGCTTAACCCACTGAGCCACCCAGGCGCCGACTTTCTGTTTTTTATTAATACTTTATTTTTTTAGAGCTGTTTTAGGTGTGTAGCAAAATTGAGGAGAAGGCACAGAGTTTTTCTGTATACCCTGTCCACACACATGCACAACCTTCCCCTGTTACCAGTGTCCACTGCTGGAGTGGTACATTTGTTAAAATTGATGCATCTACATTGGCACATTGTAATCACCCTAAGTCCACAGTTTACCTTAGGGTTGACTCTTAGTGTTGTATATTCTTTGGCTTTGGACAAATATATGATGACATGTATTCATGATTATGTTATCATACAGAGTATTTTCACTGCCGTAAAAATCCTCTGTGTTCTGCGTATCTAGCCCTTTCTCCCTCCATGTGCATGTCCTCCGACATTACCCCCTGGTAACTACTTTTTATGGTCTTTGTAGTTTTGCCTTTTCCGAAATGTATATATGTAATCATACAGTATTTATATATCCTTTTCACATTGGCTTTTTTCACCTGGTAATATACATTTAAGTGTTCTCCATGTCTTTTCATGGTTTTATACCTCATATCTTTTTAGTGTTGAATAATGTTCTCTTGTCTGTACATACCACAGTTTATCAATTCCTGTGTCTTGGTGGCTTCCAACTTTTGATAATTATGAATAAAGCTGCTTTAAAAACCCATGTCAAGGTTTTTAGGTGAATATAAGTTTTCAACTCCTTTTATATTAGATTTAAATAGTTAAACTAAGTGATATGTTACTACTATTTATTACTACGAAATTACAGTAGTTAGAAAAAAATTATTTTTCATATCTCATCCTAACAAAATTCTATGGCTTTTTTCCATAGTAAAAGCCTTTGCCAAGTTTACTGTGCCTGTGATTTGACCATTTCCTTTTGTTCACAACTTAATGCATTTCTTTGAAAGAACACTAGTATTCCTCACTCAACTGAGGCAGAAATAGTTCCTCTGAGGTCATTGTCTCATGAAGTACTTATTGTCTCCTGGGGAGACATTCCTACATTCTGTATACATTAGGTTTTGCTCCCAAAGACCTTATAAAATGAGTATACCATGTTAAACTGGACAAAGCTTTATTGGGAAATTATAATAGGTGTTTATTTTACAATTAACTCAAAGAAAAATGGTATGATACTTAGAAATTTGACCATAAAAGATGACAATTTTTTTCTCAAAAGATACCCTGAACTCTGTTTTTTTTTTAAGATTGTATTTTTTTATTTGACAGAGAGACAGTAAGAGAGGGAGCACAGCAGGGGGAGTGGGAGAGGGAGAAGCAGGCTTCCCGCTGAGCAAAGAGTCTGATGGAGGGCTCAGTCCCAAGACCATGGGATCATGACCTGAGCCAAAGGCAGATGATTAACGACTGAGCCACCCAGGCGCCCCTGAACTCTGTATTTTTATCTTATTTTCTGCCTTTGGCATACATGCCACATACTCTTTATGTCATTGAGGTAATGGTATACATAAAATTATAGTTTTTAATGATTCTATTAAGATCTATTCCTCAGTTTTCTAATGTGAAACTCATATCACAACTATGATATGAAGTGTGTGTAAAGTGCTTTTGAAATTCACACGGTAATACTGATAAGGTAAATATTGTATCTGAATTCTGTCTAGTATTCTACATAATCTAGAGAGATGTTATTAAAATAATTTATGGTATATTTTATGAATTTGCTTTATTTAGACTTTATTAAAGATTTTATTTATTTATTAAGATTTTATTTATTTGACAGAGATCACAAGTAGGCAGAGAGGCAAGCAGTGGGGTGAGGGGAAGTAGGCTCCCCGCTGAGCAGAGCCAGATATGGGGCTTGATCCCAGGACCCTGAGATCATGACCTGAGCCGAAGGCAGAGGCTCAACCCACTGAGTTGCCCAGGTAGCCCGATTTTATTTGCTTACTAGAGAGAGAGAACACTAGGCGGGGGTTAGGCAGAGCGAGCGGGAGAAGTGGACTCCCCCTGAGCAGGGACCCTGATGCAGGGCTCAATCCTAGGACCCTGGGATCATGACTAGGCCGAAGGCAGATGCTTAACCAACTGAGTCACCCAGGCTCCCCTAGACTATATTTTAATGTTAGCTCTATCAGTCACTATGAGACACTAGTTATTTTCAGTTTAATCTTTTTTTTTTAAACCTTTTCCTTAACTTCACATGGTCTGTGTATATGTGTATAGAGCAACAGAAGTTGCTCTCAGTCTCCCCTCTCAGCTTCTGCATATGATAAACCATAGGAAATCACTTTTAGTGTCTTGGATCTTAAGCAGAGTGATTTTGAGAATTTCCCATCTCTGTACCTTTGAGAGTGCAGGGATGGTTTCATGAAAGCAATGGGCTCTCCTCTAACATTTTGGTTAATACAAACTCGTTTCTCCTCTTTTAGCTGTGCGGTCAGAGAAGAAACGCCTTAGGAAGCCAAGCAAGTGGCTTCTGGAGTATACAGAAGAATATGATCAGATATTTGCTCCTAAGAAAAAACAAAAGAAGGTACAGGAACAGGTGCACAAGGTATGTTCCAACATTTTCAACAGTCTTTTCATCAGTACTTTTAGGATATTGCAGTTTTGCCTTTAATATCCTTTTTTGTCTGCATGGGACAATAATTTCCTTAACTGGGATCTTGCTTTTTCCATTTTTTACCTCCAGCTTTTGGTACTACTTAGAATATACATGAAAGTATAAATGACTGTATGCACTGTGTGTAGTATGTGTATGCATAAATTTTTTTCCTCCCTTTGCTTTTAGAGAGTAATGATTTAGGAATATTATTATGACAAAATATTAAAATCATAGAACATAAAATATGGTAGGATAATTTTTTATTTTTATTTTTTAAGATTTACTTATTTGAGAGAGAAAGAGCATGGAGGGGAGGGCCCGAAGGAGAGGGAAAGAGAGTCTGAAGCAGATTCCGTGCTGAACATGGAGCCCCATGTGGGGCTTGATCTCACAACCCTGAGATCATGACCTGAGCCCAAACCAAGAAACAGAGGCTCACCTGACTGTACCACCACAGCAGCCCAGGAGTGTAATTTTTTAAACAAAGGTTATTGATAACTTATTTGCCTTATTTTTAATTCAGTTCTTTTGTTTTGAATTTTTATTTAATCTCTACACCCAACCTGGGGCTCAAACTCATGACCCTGAGATCAGCAGTTTGCACATACTTGCAACTGAGCCAGCCAGGCACCCCTTAATTCAGTTTTTTTTAGGCTCACTTATTTTTTTTTTTTTTAAAGATTTTATTTATTTATTTGGCAGAGAGAGATCACAAGTAGGCAGAGAGGCAGGCAGAGAGAGAGGGGGATGCAGGCTCCCTGCTGAGCAGAGAGCCCAATGTGGGTCTCGATCCCAGGACACTGGGATCATGACCTGAGCAGAAAGGCAGAGGCCTTAACCCACTGAGCCACCCAGGTGCCCCGGGTTATCATATGGTCTTAATGAACTTTTACAGCTTTAGTATATCTCAACTGCATTTTTTCCCTTTTTAAAAAATTAATTTTTAAAAATTAAAATTGTGTAAAATATACATAACAAAATTTGTAATTTAAACACTGTTATGTGTACAGCTCTTTGTCATTAAGTATATTCACATTGTTGTGAACCATCACCACCATCCATCATCTCTAGAATTTTTTCATGTTCCCAAACTAAAACTCTACCTATTACAAAAGTAACCTCCCAGTTTACGCTCCCCTCAGCTTCTGGCAACCACTATTCTGTTTTCTTTTCCTCCTCCTCCTCTTTCTTCTTCTTCTTCTTCTTCTTTTTTTTTTTTTTCTTTTTTGAGAGAGAGTGACTGCGTGCACACATGCATGTTGGGTAGAGGAAGGGCACAGGGTGAGAGAATCTTAAAGCAGGCTCCATGCCTAGCACAGAGCCCAGTGTGGTGCTTGGTCTTATGACCCTGAGATCATAACCTGAGCTAAAATCAAGAATCAGATGCTTAACGAACTGAGCCATCCATGCTCCTCCCCCATTCTATTTTCTGTCTTTATGAATTTTATTATTCTAGGTTAACCTCATATATGTAGAATCATAAAATATTTGTCCTTTTGTGTATGGCTTATTTCACTTAGTGATATCTTCAAGATTCATCCGTGTTGTATCATGTCAGAATTTCATTTTTAAGTGCATTATTCTTTTTGAAACTGAAATTATAGCAACTTTGTTCTATGGATTCTTCGTTTATTTTTTTGCTTCAGGTAAGTTCCCGCTGTGAAGAGGAAAGCCTTTTAGCCCGATGTCGATCTAGTGCTCAGAACAAGCAGGTGGATGAGAATTCTTTGATTTCAACCAAAGAAGAGCCTCCAGTTCTTGAAAGGGAGGCTCCATTTTTGGAAGGGCCCTTGGCTCAGTCAGAACTTGGAGGTGGACATGCTGAGTTGCCACAGCTGACCTTGTCTGTGCCTGTGGCTCCGGAAGTCTCTCCACGGCCTGCCCTTGAGTCTGAGGAATTGCTAGTTAAAACACCAGGTAAGATGGGAACGGGGTCTCAGAATGTAGGTAGATATGATTTTAGCATGTTGTGATTAAAAAGCCAATAGTGAATCTGTACAGCAAGTTACCCACTTTTGTCCTGGGAAATCCTGAAAGTGTCAGCTGACTGAATATAGTTAATGATCACGAATTAGTGGGACACTGTCCTTAAGATTTGTTTTAAAAACAACTCTCCTTACTCCATTGTTACTTGTTATGATTGCTGATCAACCACCATGTGAGTCAACACTCAGGTTAGCAGGGTTTGTGGGAAGGGCACTACATACTAATAAACACATGAAACTTACGCTTCAGATAAATTGGCTCTATCAGTTTTTGTATAACTTAAGAAATTGTTTAACCTCTGAACTTGTTTCCTTTTTTATAAAATGGACATCATAATGCAGTTTACCCGATACATTGTAAGTAGCTAAATGTAAATATTCCCTTGAAGTTAATTACCAGTTGCTTTTCACTTTATTATTCTTTATATACATGTCACCTGGTGTAAGTTGAATCTAAACATACTGTCTCTAATTTACCTTCTGACTCTCAAACATTGTAGTCACCCAAAGAAAATTTTGCATATAACTTTTTTTATATTCCCAACAATAGCTTGTGATGATATTTCTCTTATTTAAAAAATGAGAGTATCCCAGTCGTGTTTATTAATCAAGTAAGACAGAATCAGAAAGACTAAAAATAGTACAGATAGTTACTATTTCATAATTTAGCATGTACTAAACTCTGTTATTAGGTTCTTGTATATAATTCTTAAGAACAGTCCTACAAAGTAAATGTGTTTTGTTTATTTAGGATCAGAATAAAAATTCTGATCCTGGTTCTATCATGCCTGGAATTCAGGGTCTACTCCACCTCACTTCTCCTTTGTCCTTACTACCAATTAATTATTATAAAGATAGTTCTGCCCTTTTGATTTCCCCCTTAGTCTTTTCATGATACACACACACAGAGACATAAGAACATTTTCAGATTAGTTTGTGTCTGTATTGAGAATTGTTTTCCTATTTTTTATGTTAACTAATATTTTAGAATAAATAAATACATTCTGATATATCCTGCTCCTCACCAGAAGATGATGAGGAAAACATAAAAAACATTTTTCTGTGGCATATAGATTTTTTAAAAAATTAGTTTATGTCTAGTTTCTAAATCATCTAATGAAAAGATACATACATTTCAGGAAATTATGAAAGTAAACGTCAGAGAAAACCAACTAAGAAACTTCTCGAATCCAATGATTTGGACCCTGGATTTATGCCCAAGAAAGGGGATCTTGGCCTTTCTAAAAAGGTATGTTATTTTAGTCAATTCTAAAATATGATTAAACCATATGTAAATATGGGATTTTAAAAACAAATCTTTTAGTAATCCTTAGCAATATTGATGCATACATACATAGAAATAAGAGAATCGCAGAATATATTCCTTAGGTCTGAGAGATCCTATATTGAGAAGCTGTTCTGCATTTGTATGGACATGTGTATCAGTTCATTTTAGATGTTCTTTTCAAATGAAAATAAAAAGAGCTTATAAGATTGAGTAAAGTGTGTGTTTGTTTCTTTTCTGGGATTAAAACCTCTTACCTGCTTTCTACTTCTTTCTCTATGAGCCACTAACCTACTCTTATCCCATTGCCCTGTCTGTATAACACCTCAGAAAAGACTCAGCTTAGTTATAACCAGGCAGAAACATTTGAACTTAAGTTTTTGAGTTTGCAGGCGTGGTTTTTATTGGCCAAGAAGGCATCACTAAATAGTAGATGGAAATAGAAGGTTATTTTCCTGGATATAATTTTTAGGAATCCTCCTATTGCCCATATGTGTGAGGAGTAACTCAGGGTAAGTGTTAGAAATTCAGTTGTTAGGATGCACAGATTTCTTTTAAAGAAAAATTTTAATAGGAAAAATACAGATTGTAATCAGATAAAAAATAAGAGTTTTTGGACTTCTTTCATTAGCTATAACAGGCTTATGTCATTTAATCCTATATTGAGGATCCTAGTTTTTGCTTTTGTGAGTTATTCACCCAGCTGGATTAGCATGTAATTGTAAAACTCAGTTTATTTGTGTTTTTATACTTCATTTAAAAAGTCTGCATTATATTCTTTAATTCTTTCATTCTTCTCAAAGTCCATTTCCTGAGACATGTCCGGGTGAGGCTGTGATAGTTTCCTTCTGCACTGCTTTCTCTCCTAACTTTGTCTTACTCAAATCTTAGCCACTTGTAAGGGACAAGGAAACTGATTCATCACAATATTTTGAGCATGGAAATAACATTTGCTATCAGGTGATAAGTTTAGTAGTATTATACAAGGCGAATTATGTAAAGCTGTTGCATTAATGCTACAGTCTGAGGTAATGACACATTTTAAAGAAAATCAGCATTTGGGTCAGTTTAGAGAATGATATTATTTTTACCTGTTTTGTTGAGATAAAATTGACATGCACAAGTTAATGATTTGATTAATGGATATAGTGAACATATGGACATTCACTGCTATATTTTAGCTTGTTTCAATCGCAAAATTTGGGGACTTTACAGCAAGAATAACATCTGTTGACTTTTTGTGGCCACTAAATTTTGTTTAACATTCCTGCTGAAGAATATATTTATTGTAGAAGACATTTTATTGGACTGAAACTAATTCATACAAGCATTACTAGTAGGGGAGTGAAATGTGTAGGAAATTACTCTTGATGTCTGAGTGTTTTCTTTTGAGATTTAATCTTGCTTTCATTTATATTAATCTATAGCCAATTAAATCAGAAAGATAATTCCATGATTCAGAGCTTTCTGGTATATGTGCTGCTGGAGTGAGCACTGATTCAGAGCTTTTTAATATTTAGAATTCATCAAGTAAATAAGTCTTTGTAAAATCTAATGGCTATAAATACAGTTTTAAGAAGATAGATTTTAAATGCAGGGTGGTATGGAATAGAGCTGAGATGCTGGGTCTCTGGGAATATACCCTTTCTCTTTGTCTACCATTTGAATCAGAGTACCATTCTGTATCTGCTTGATACATTGGGAGTCTCTGGTTAACCCCAAAGGAGTGTGTGTTCGTAGGAGTCTTTTGGCGCTGTATTTTTTGTTTTTTGATGTCTTTCCCCATGTAGTTTCTGTTCAACCCATTATTGTTAATACTGTTTATTTAATTGCCAGAAACAGCCAGGATTTCTGTATTTGTGATAATAGTTCAGCTTTTGGCATATAATATAAAAGGTTTATTTTCGGTTCCTCTGTAAATCTATTGCGTTTTGTTTATTTGTAGTGTTATGAAGCCGGTCACTTGGAGAACGACATTAATGAATCACGTGCTGCATCTCATTCTAAAGAGTATGGTGGAGGTGTGTATTTTTGAAACTTAAAAAAATGTAATGCAAAATAACTATGAACCACCTGGTCAGCTAACTAGAGAAGTTGTTACATACGTTAGCAAGACCAGTGAGATTGTATCTTCTAAGACTTGTTTGCCCAAGGGGCACCTGGTTGGCTCAGTTGGAAGAGCATGAGACTTGATCTCAGGGTCTTCAGTTTGAGCCTCACATTGGGTGTAACGATTACTTAGAAATAAATAAAAATAAGATTAAAAAAAAACAACAACAAAAACTTGCTTGCCCAAATATGCTTCCTAATACAGTGCGTGACACTAGAAAATTGGATGGTCATTTTGAGCTTCATGCTGAAATTAGTTTCATGGAATTAGAATTATATTAGACTAAAAAAAAAGTTAGGAACAATAAAGAAAAATCTCCTACTCAATTTTCTTATTGGGTGATTCTCTAACTGAAATCGTTACTTTCTTGGCATTTTTTTTGCTTTTTTAAAGATTATATTTATTGGGGCGCCTGGGTGGCTCAGTGGGTTAAGCCGCTGCCTTCGGCTTAGGTCATAATCTCAGGGTCCTGGGATCGAGTCCTGCATCGGGCTCTCTGCTCAGCAGGGAGCCTGCTTCCCTCTCTCTCTCTCTCTGCCTGCCTCTCCGTTTACTTGTGATCTCTCTCTGTCAAATAAATAAAATCTTTTAAAAAATAAAAATAAATAAAAAGATTATACTTATTTATTTGACAGAGATCACAAGTGGGCAGAGAGGCAGAATTACCAAGTAATTCAATAATAGATATAATATGGTAGTTCAAGCATTTCCTCTACCAGATTCTTTGTTTGCTCAGTCCGTTGCTCTAGGACTGTTAACATCTAACCCATCTAAAGCTTTACAGAGGGTTAGGGTATTATCCGTATTATCCCTGTATTATAGAAAAACAAGGTGAAAGAGGTGGCAGTGTTGGGGTACTAAATCCAGACCTGACCAGACTCATTGCCACACTACCATCTTGTTATCCACCCCAGATATTTTCCATGCCAATTCTTTGTACCACTTTATTCATTCATCTGCCAGTGCCATTTATTGATTAGTGTCATTTCTGAGATATTAGCCCAAATTTCAGCATATAGCATCAGATGTGGTCTGCCAGCAAAGGGTATCATGGGAAGGTTATGTTACATGTGATTGTTTTAGGGAAAAAAAAAGACTTTATTTATTTGAGAGAGTGTGAGAGCGAGCACACAAGCAGGGGTAGGGGCAGATGGGAAGAGAGAAGCAGACTCCCTGCTGAGCAGGGAGCCTGACACAGGGCTCCATATCAGGACCCCAGAATCATCACTGAGCTGAAGGCAGACACTTAATCTACTTAGCCCCCCAGGCAGTACTACATGTGATCTTAAATGAGCACTTTTTTTTTTTTTTTAAGATTTTATTTATCTATTTTTTGAGAGATAGAAGAGCAGAAGGAGTGGAGAGGGGGCAGAGGAAGAGAGAGAAGCAGACCACCTGTTGACCAGGGAGCCTGATGCGGTGCTCAATCCCAGGACCCCAGGACCATGACCTGAGCTGAAGGCAGATGCTCAATCAGTGCCTGAGCCACTCAGGCACTCCTTAAATGCGCACATCTATCTATCTATCTATATTTATTTATTTACTTATTTATGAGCATTTTTTTTGATATATATATATTTTTTTAGATTTTATTTATTTATTTGACAAGAGATCACAAGTAGGCATAGAGGCAGGCGGGGGGGGGGGGGGAAGCAGGCTCCCCACCGAGCTCCATCCCCAGGACCCTGGGATCATGACCTGAGCCAAAGGCGAGGCTTTAACCCACTGAGCCACCCAGGCACCCTGTAAATACGCACATCTTTAAATGTAACCCAAGATTATTAAGTTTTCTAGTAAGTAAATCTAGTAGTATATTAGCTTATGTTAACCTTGTGTTCATACATAATTTCACAGATTCACCGGTTTGCTTGCTTGCTTGCTTGCTTGCTTTTAAAAAAAACCAAAAAAAACAGACTTCCAAAATACCAGCTCTTCTATTTTTGTAGTTCAGTTTTTATAAAATGTACAACCTGTACTTTATCTTTTGCAAATTTCATCAGCTGTTTTAGCTCCTGAGAATTTTGAACTTTTATTCTGCTACCATATTAATTCTTTTAGTCATAGGTGATTGGCAACTTTGATAGAGCTTCTCCATCTCTATCAAGCAGTCCCAAGAAAGAGAGTACCAAGCCGGTTTTCCAAAGTCTAGCCTTCATGTTTTTACCTAGCCTAATTATCCTGGAACATTTTATGAAGTAGCACTTGAGATTCCTCTTTATTTCTATAACAAAAAGTTGAAATATGTGTAATAGACAGAAATATGTGTAATAGACAATGAGGGAGAGACTGGAATTTTATTTTATAAATATGCCTGATTAGATCATATATTATCTATTTTATATTGTTGGATGTTCAGGATTTTAGTACTACAGCATGAATATCCTTTAAGCCACTAAATGTTTTGTGGGAGGTCTCCTCTTTCCCCAAGCCAGATTTTTGTATTGCAGCTTTTCATCTTAATCCTTACATTGTATAGTGATATAATTTACTGTCTTTAATTGTGGAGGTCAGGTTTTAGTATCTTTTCCTGAGTACTAAATGTATTTCCTCCCCATCTATAGGATATTTAAGTCCTTTGAGGAACTATGAAGACTTTCATTTCATCGTATAAAATGAAACTGCTTTAACCTACTTACTCATTTTACCATTTAATCTGTATGAGACAGAATTTATATATGTGTAGTTCTTTCCCCAACTAGTTATATAGTCATGGGTAAGTCTCCTCCCTTCTGTGCCCTTTTCCTCATCTACTAAGTTGGGGAATTAAATGGACTTTATGATTGGTTTTTTACTCTAACATTCTGTAATTCTTTGAGGTTCTTTAAGTTGAGGATAGGATTTCTTGAACATGTGGGTGAATAACCAGCAGATAACGCCTGTTTTCTGTCTTAGGCACTACCAAGATATTTGATAAACCAAGGAAGCGAAAACGACAGAGGCATACTACAGCCAAGATGCACTGTAAAAAAATGAAAAATGATGATTCATCAAAAGAAACTCCAACCTCAGAGGTATTACTCAGTTCCTCATCTTTTGACCTTCCAAAGAAAATCTACTTTTCACAGTAGAGGCCACACCCTTCTTCCCTGAGTTTTCTTAAGAATCATGTTCTACTGAAACAGCTAATTAACAGCTGTAAGAAGACATATATGGCAACAATGGATACGATCTTTTTAATAGACCACATCCTATGCTCTAGGTATCTGATGAATTTTATAGCTTTCATCATGAAGTAAGCTTTTTCTAAATAACCAGAGCACAATACCAAGTAACCATATGATCTGAATGCACTTAGATATTGCCCTTTACAAGTTGAGACTGCTGCAATTAGAGGGAAACTCATTTGCTTATTTCTTGAAACCATCAACTGCTTAATTTTAGACTAATGTTTGTAAACATTTGCTTTAAGGAAACAAAGGTAGATTTAAAACCATTACCTTGTAGAGCATCAGTGCAGTCATTGATGCGGTCTCTAGCTTTTCAACTCAGGTTAAAAGAGAATTAGAACAAGTGAGGTCAGCTTTACACATTATTATACGGAGTGTTTCTTTCCAGGATAATTTGAATCGAATGCCCAAGGGAGGCATTATTTAGGAAACACTGATCTTGGAAGGACAAATAAGTAATCAAATAAACTTAAGAATGTTTTCTCTCCCTTAGTGAAACCTTAAAATGGAACAGCTCAAAAAGTTCCAGTGGAACAGCCTCAGAGCAGTTAGTGGCAGGGCATGAGGCGCCCACTACCCGCCCAATCACAGCAGGGTTAGAACTAACATTGCATGCAGTCCGCCCGCGTGATTGGCTGAACATCTGTAAGTGCTTAATGGCTAGACAAATAGCAGCCCAGAGGGAGGGGGTCACATGGAGGAGACATCTATAATACAGATGTGGGACATTATTTTTTCTCTGCAAGGGAGAACTGATGACACACAGAACAGCTGCAAGCCCCAAGGAGACTGTTGAGGAGGGTGTAGAGAATGATCATGGGATGCCAGCATCTAAAAGGCTGCAGGGCGAACGAGGCGGAGGAGCTGCACTCAAGGAGAACGTTTGTCAGGTAAAGGATGTTGCCCACTTGCATTTGGATTGCTTGTGTGTCTTTTAAGAAAAACCCTCTCCATCTCTTGATAACCCAGTCATGTTAGAATAAACATTTTTCCTGGATGATTCCAGTGGAGTCACTTCCCTTTAAGGATTTAAGTCTTACCCTTCTCACGAAAAGAGAAAGGAAAATAAATATTTAGTGTTGGTAAAACACCTGCCCTTGTTACCCATGAGTAGATGCCATGGAGCAGGTCTGAGATGGAAGAAGGAATCACAGATTACTTAAAAATCATTTTCCTGTATGTTTCATGGTGTGAGAATCTCTGGGTTTCTAAGGAATGTTGTAAGGGAAATTTTCACTTTGAGATTTCTTTTTCTTTAAAATAGTGATTTCAGAGAATCTACTGCTGCCTTTTTATATTTATTTAATAAGTATTTATACAGTGTTTACTGTGTTTCAAGAGTTTCCATCACTTTATAAATATTCTGGGGGCACCTGGGTTAAGCAGTTGACTCTTGATTTTGGCCCAGGTCATGATCTCAGAGTTGTGAGCTTAAGATTTTCTCCCTCCCTCTCTCCCTCTGTGCCCCCCACCCCAAATAAATAAATTTTAAAAATTTATCAAATTAAACTTTTATAAATACTAGGTCATTTAGTCATAACAGTCTTGTAAAGTAGATTGCCATTATTATCCTCATTTTTACAGACAAGGAAACTGAAGCAGAGAGATGTTACATAACTTGCTTATAGTCACACAGCAAAGCCAGGATTCAAACTCAAGCAATCTGGGTTTAGAGTCTTAACCACTATATTGTGTTGCCTCTCTGTAAAGAGATTTTATCAGACTTGGGAATAGAGTCAGTTAAATTGATGCTTTGATTATGTTCTCTTTTTTATGGGCTTGATTTACCTTTGTAAATTCTTAAAAGCTGGCCTATAAAAAGTTGAAGATACTAGGTTTCTTTTTCTTTTTTTTTATTGAAACAGCTAAAAATAAAGTTAACCCAAGCCTAGAATATGTAGAACAGCAGAATTTCCATTCAGTTTGTTTTTTCATTTTCATTACTGTATAAAGAACGCTGATCATATTCAGATCAGCACCCAAACACAGTGTTATTCCTCAGAGATTGTATAACAACAAAGATTATCAACAAAATGTGGTTAAAAGGATAGTTGCTTTGTGGTCCTGGATTGTTTGGATCACTTTTTGTTTAAATCTGTTGTCCTTGTTTAATTTATTAATATCATGTCCTTTCACTCACATGGTTACCAGTTTGAAAGATGAATTACTTGGTCATCCCAGTTAAAGGGTTAGTCCATAACATGTTTTAAATTTGTCTTTGATATATACTGTAATTGAAGTTTCCCTGTTTAAATGGTGAAGGCAAATTTGTTTATTGTACATAAAAGCTGGTATCACTGGCACTGTGATTGTACAAAATAAAGTGGGTAATATTTATGGCATTTGTCAATTTTTATGTGTGAGTTAGGGGATAATGGAAGAGCCAGAGTTGTAAGACTTAATTTACACTATAGGTTGTTTAAGACCTTGGGGTCTGTCTGCTCTTAATCCCTGGCTGCCTCTGGCATTTTTTCCCCAAAGCTCTCCTCTACTCATTTGTTTATTCAAGCTTTGATGTCAAGTGGCCAAGACCTTTTGTTTCTTCAGGTGCTTGAAGATACTAGACTGACTTAGTTGCCTTCTTCTTTCTTGTCTTCCGCAATAAGACTCTTTTTCAGTTTTGGTATTTTCCTGCTAAACACTGTGGGGCAACAAATCAGGATGTTAGAGGGATGAAAGTAACAAATGTTGGGAATTTGCAGAATTTTCATAAATCTATGTTTTGAAAGCAACAAAGCCAGATCTCTATTTCCTAAGGCCCTATCATAAATGACACCCTATCTTAGATGAGATCATCTCAGAAAGGCGACCTCTCTGAGATGGTTGTAGATGTATCTCAAACATTGTTTAAACCTTGATTAGAGCCCTTTTGGCCTGTTAGAACCCAAGTCTAGCTAACCAGTATCTCTTGTTTGAACTATTACAGTAGCCTTCTTGATTGTTTCTTTACTGCTATTCTCACCTTTCTCATTCTTGAACTCATTTTCCATGTAGTAATCAGAGGAATCTGTTTTTATTTTTATTTTATTTATTTATTTATTTATTTTAAAAAAGATTTTATTTATTTATTTGACAGAGAGAAATCACAAGTAGGCAGAGAGGCAGGCAGAGAGAGAGGAGGAAGCAGGCTCCCTGCTGAGCGGAAAGCCCGATGTGGGGCTTGAACCCAGGACCTGGGATCATGACCTGAGCCGAAGGCAGCGGCTTAACCCACTGAGCCACCCAGGCGCCCCAGGAATCTGTTTTTAAATGAATATCTGATTTTAGCCTTTTCTTGTTAAAGCCCTCTAATGGCACACCTCTGTAATTAGAATAAAATCTAAAAATGTAGCATAATGTGTAAGACCACACAATCAGGCTGTTGCCTTTTTCTTACCTTATCTTCTACCACGTATAACTTTTGTTCACTGTAGTCCACTGACTTCCCTTATGATTCTCAGACCTAACATAGTTTTTCCTATCTGTGGACTTTCTGTATTTGTCTCCCTGGTCTTTCTGTCAGATGTGACTGACTTGGAGTTCAGAACTGCATCTGAGAGGCCATTCCCAATGACCCAATCCCAAGTAGCTATTTGAATTCTCTACTTAATGCTTATAATTATCTGATATCTTTTGTGTTTGTTTGTTTACTTCTATTTTCAGTCCTTAGTATATATGAACCGTGAGAGCTGGGGACTTTGTGGAAGCTGGCATAGAGGAATTAATCATTAAATATTGGCTGAATAAATGGTGGGCTCTCTTCTTTCTGGAAAGCTCCTGCTTAATCTTTCTTCACGAAGGCCTTCTGCTTGGGACTTTAAAAACCCTTTATAGACATACCTGTTTTCTTTCTCTTAACAGAACTGTGAGAAACTGGGTGAGCTGCTGTTATGTGAGGCTCAGTGCTGTGGGGCTTTCCACCTGGAGTGCCTTGGATTAACTGAGATGCCGAGAGGAAAATTTATCTGCAATGAATGTCGCACAGGTGAAGTAGTTATAGATGGGGTTTTCTTCCGAAGATGGTTTGAGTTTTAAGTTATTCAGGAAAAATTCCCAACATTTATTGCAGACGCTTTCTATAGCAATGCAGGGCTAGTTGCGACAGACGTAGATAAGTGCTGTGTGGTCTTTCCCTGTGGAAAAGAATACCAAGTGAATAATGAATTGATAGTATAATATAGTGCAAAAGGATTGTAGTAGAGCTAGATTTATAGTGATAGGTGAACAAAGGTGAGCCATTTCCACAGAGGAAGATAGCTAAGTTTGGCTTTAAAAGAGACATGAAAATTGGTGTGGGGAGGTGAAGTACAAGAAGATCCAGTAATGAAAGTATAGACTATTTGGGAAATAGGAGGCATAAGTTAGTGTGTTTAGAGTTTAAGATACTTTAGGGAAGAGCATTGTTAGTTACAAGGAGGGTTTCTGGATTACTGGTGATGTTTTATATTTCTTGAGCTGAAAATGATTACATAAGCATGTTTTCTTTATGATTATTTGTGAACTGTACACTTAGGATGCTATACTTTTCTGTGTGTATATCATATGTGAACAAAACTATTTACAAAAATAAGGAAAGACATATTTTTTACTTTTTTATTAACATGTAATGTATTATTAGCCCCAGGGGTACAGGGGAAAGATGTATGTAATCTTGAGAGTTATATAGATTGGCTCAGAAACTGAGAATGGTCAGATGGAACCAACTGTAAAGTACCTCACAGGCTACGCTAAGGAGATGGTTCTTTCTTCAGCATTATATGCGAATGCTACAGCAGTTAAGTAGTAGGGAAAAATGGGGGCTAAAAGCGGTTACACTCCTGAGTCATTAAAACCATGAGTGTGCATGAACCTGCCCAGGGAAAAAGCATCTGGAGAGTGAGAAAAGGACCAACAAAAGTACTCAGGGGGTGCCCACATTAAAAAAAAAAAAAAAAACACTGCAGGGTGAGGAGGAGCTAGTCAAAGAATGTTTGTGAAGCCAGGGAGAGTAGGATATCATCAGCAGGGGCATATGTGGCAAAGAGACCAAGGAGGTTTTGGGGTGATAAGAGGCTAATATATATAGCAGTGGGAAATATATTTGCCACACAGGTGTTCCACACTAAACCTAGTTGAGGGGCAAATGGTTAGCAGTATACGCTACTTCTTACAAAAGCTTGATATCCGTGGAAAAAAGGGTAGTAGCTGAAGGGAGGATATTATAGGGTCAAGAGGAAGAACATCTTGAATGTTTGTGGGATAAATGTTAAGAACCACATAGGGAAATAAATTCCTGCAAGAGGAGGGAATAATTAATGGAGTGTAGTTGCTAAGTGATTGGACAGAATAATCTTGAAGAGACAAAAAGATAAAACAGGAATGTACCTTGGAGTTGGAGAGTTGGAGAATAAGCCAGAGTTTTTCTTAGTTTGGTGAGAATGATGGGGAAAAGGTGGTTTCTAACTTGAAGGGTGGAGTTGTAGGTTTAAAGTAGCTCCTGTGGGAACCGAGAGACAGAATTAATTTGTGTCTGTAAATCAGTGGCTGTGTCATATTGAGTTATCTCCTCTTTCTGCCACTACTTTTAGCAGTGTGGGAACAAAAGCTAGAAGGCAAGATAGTTCTGGGGTTATTTTGCCTCCCGTACAGTGGGCTTTTGATCATTATGGGAAATAGTGCCATCCAGCCCTATAAATGAAATTTAGGGAAAAAAATTTTAGGTGTGTGCATATCTCTTAATCCTAATCTTAGAGAAGTCTTGCCTTTTGTACAGATAATCCAGCTTTGCTAGTCTTACCCTTTTTTTTTTTTTTTAAGATTTTATTTATTTATTTGACAGAGATCACAAGTAGAGGCAGGCAGAGGGGGGAGAAGGAAGCAGGTCCCCTGCTGAGCAGAGAGTCGGGGATGGGGGGTTTGATTCCCGGGCCCTGAGATCATGACCTGAGCCGAAAGCAGAGGCTTAACCCACTGATCACCAGGCGCCCCTGCTAGTCTTATCTTTATTATAATGTGATATTCTCTGAACTAGTTATGGTAAAGGTATTTTTTGAAGAATTAACCTTACTGAAGTATAATTTACCTATTAAAAAATGCACTAGTTTTAATGTATGTTTTGGTAGGTTTTGATAAAATTTATAAACACATATGTAAGGATAACCACAGTGAAGATTCAGAACATTTCCATTGCTCCAGAAAGTTCCCTTGTAATTAGTCCTAGTTGATCCTTCCGCCCCTCACTACCCCCCCCCATCCCCACCCCAATCCTATTTCAGGCAAGCAGTGATGTGCTTTCTGTAATTACACGAGATTTATTTTTTTAAAGAGTTTCATAAGTGAAACAAAATGTATGTAGTTTTTTTGTCTGGTTCAGCATAATGTTTTTGACACTCATCTGTGTTAATGTGTTTATCAGTAGTTCATTTTCCTTCTTAAAACAGCTTTTTTGAGGGAGAGTTGTACAGTAAAGTGCACAAAGTGTAATTTGTTAAGTTCTGATACATATGTGTGTGTACATACACCTGCGAAACCATCCCTCAGCATAGGTAATTTCAGATTCAGCAACATTGCTGTACGTGTTGAGAGTTCACTCCTTTTTATTGCTGAGTAGTATTCCATTGTACAAATGTGTCACAGTTGGTTTATTCATTCATCTGTTGATAATACATTGGAGTTGTTCTCAGGTTGCGGTATTATTAATAAAGCTGCTATGAACATTCATGTCTTTGTACGGACACATTTTCTTTTTACTTCTAAATACCTAAGGGTGGAAGGCATGGTAGGTATATGTTTAACGTTTTAAGAAACATCCAAACTGTTTTCCAGAGTGTTTGTACCATTTTACATTGTCATCAGTAATGGATGAGAGTTTCAGTTCTCCATATTTTCATCAACACTTGGTATTGTCAGTCTTTTTAATTTTAGCCATTTGGACAGATATGTAGTGGTACTTCATTGTGGTTTTAATGTGCATTTTCCTAATGACAAATGATGTTGTGCTTCTTTTTAATGTGCTTTTTTGCCATCTTCCTTGATGAAGTATCTCTTCAAATCTTTTTTTTTTTAATTAGGTTGTTTATTTTCTTACTGTTGAGTTTTAAGAGTTCCTTATATATATTCTGGGTACTAGTTATTTATCAGATACATACTTTGGAAATTATTCTACCAATCTGTGGGTTGGGTTTTTTTTTTTTCCTCCTTAACCATGTCTTTTGTAGAGCAGTTTTTTATTTTTATTTTATTTTTTTAAGATTTTTATTTATTTATTTGACAGAGACCATGAGAGAGGGAACACAAGCAGGGGGAGTGGGAGAGAGAGAAGCAGGCTTCCCACCGAGCAGGGAGCCTGACACGGGCATCGATCCCAGGACCCTGGGATTATGACTGGAGCTGAAGGCAGATGCTTAATGACTGAGCCACCCAGGCGTCCCTTGAAGAGCAGTTTTTTAATTGTAAATGATGTTTATCAGCTTGTTTTTTTAAAGAGTTTGTGCTTTGATGTCATGTTGAAATCTTTTATAACCCAATGTCATAAAGCTTTTCTTTGTTTTCTAATGAAAATTTTATAGTTTGAGGTTTTACCTTTATGTCTAAGGTCTGTTCTTTATTAATTTTTCTATATGATGTGAGGTAGATTTATTACTATCTTTTTAACTTTAAAAAAATTTTTAAAGATTATTTACCTTATTTATTTGACACAGAGAGAGAGAGCACAAGATGAGGAGTAGCAGGCAGAAGGAGAGGGAGAAGCAGGCTCCCCACAGAGCAGGTGAAGCCCGATGTGGGACTCAATCCCAGGACCCCGGGATCATGACCTGAGCCGAAGACAGTTGTTAAACCGACTGAGCCACCCAGGTGCCCTACTATTTTTGAGGGTAGGAAATTTTACCCTAGGTGAATAGAGTAAAAATAAGGGAGTCATTTCATTTTTCTTGTGGCTCACCCTATTTTTCTAATGTGGAGTGACCACACCATAATTTAGGTTATTCCAGTTTAATATTGACATCAGACAGTAAGAAGTTTGCTTTTTTCCAAATGGATAATTAAAATTTTTTCTTAAAATCACTATTAGCTGGGTGATCTTACTGTTTATAGGTATGGTGGGTTTTAATGAATTCCTGTATCCAGCAAGTGTTACGGGCAAGATTCATGTTCAGGTCTGTCTCTCAAGCCTGGGCTTTCCCTTACTTTGTATGGCTTCTCAAAGAGAGGTAACTGTTTCTTTGTTTTGTTTTGTTTTTCACTTTTCTTAAACTTTGTATTACAGAAATCCTCAGACATTTACAAAAGAACAGTATAAAGTAATCCCGTGTATTCATCATTTAGCTTCAGTAGTTATCAGTTTTCTGCCTCTGTCTACTCATATATTTCTTTTAATATATTTGTTTCAGGGGTACAGCTCTTTGAGTCATCAGTCTTATATAATACCAGGTGCTTTACCCATATATTTCAAAAGATCTAACGCAACTTAAAAATATATATCTAGGGATGCCTGGATGGCTCGGTGGGTTAAAGCCTCTGCCTTCGGCTCAGGTCATGATCCCAGTGTCCTGGGATTGAGCTCCACATCGGGCTCTCTGCTCAGCGGGGAGCCTGCTTCCCTCTGTCTCTCTCTGCCTGCCTCTCTGCCTACTTGTGATCTCTGTCTGTCAAATAAATAAATAAAATATTAAAAAAAATATATATATAATATGTAGCAAGATTATATAGTAACTTCTGTGTGTCACCTACTTCCCAGTCCCATTTTCAATTTTTCCATATGTCTCAAAGATGTCTTTTTACAGTATTTTAATCAAGATCCAGATAAGACTGCTTTTATTGTATTTTTTGGTATGTCTCTTCAATTTCTTCTAATCTACAACAGTACACCTCCATCCTATTTTTTAATGTTGTTTATTTGTTTTGACAGTTATTTGTCCTGCTAAATTTTCTGCATTGCAAATTTGGTTTATTACATCTTTCAGGTGTCCTTTTAACTTGTTGCCCTATCTTCCATATTTCCTGGAAATTTGTAGTTAGATCTAGAGGCTGGATTAATTTCAGATCAGTTTTCTTTTGGCAGGAATGCTTTGTAGGTAATGTGTTCTTCCTATTGCGTCATATCAGCAAGCATATATTGTCAAGAGTTTCTCACTTAATAATGATCTTAAAATTGTTTGGTAGGTTCTTGTCAGCCCGATTAGTCTGTTACAAAGTTCTTTATTGTGATATTGTAATTTATAATAAGAAATACATATTTTGGTCTTTAGCTTGTGGCACAGAGCTCCCAAAACCTTGGTCTCTCCTATGCGGTGAGAGTTACCAAGATGTTCTTTGTGTGTGTTTGACTATGTTAATAAAAGACACATCTCAGGATAGGGGCTTGATTGCCAAGAGAGCGAACCTTACGATTACAGGGCTAGAACTTTCACTCCTCTCCCCCTAATCTCTAAGGAAACGGGGGGTCAGAGGCTGGAGGTTGAGTCAGTCCCCAGTGGCCAATGGTTTAATCGGCCTATGCACTGAAGTCTCAGAACCCAGAAGAATGGGTTTCGGAGAGCTTCTGGATTGGTGGGTGTGTGGAGATTCAGAATAAAGTGTTGCTTTTGGAGAGGGAATGAAAGCTTCCCACCCTTTCCTCATACCTTGCCCCGTGCATCTCTTCCATCTAGCTATTCCTGAGTATTATCTTTTCATGATAAACTGGTGATCCGGTAAATAAAATGTTTCTCTGAGTTCTTTGAGCCATTCCAGCAAATTAATCAAACCCAAGGAAGTGCAGGTTATAGGAATCTCTGATTTATAGCCAGTCAGAAGTATAGGTGACAACCTGAACTTGAGATTGGCATCTGAAGTTAGGGGCAAAGGCCATCTTGCCCAATTGAGTCCTTAACCTATGGGATATGATGTTACCTTGTATATAGTTTCAGAATTTAGTTGAATTGTAAGACACACAGCTGGTGTTGGAGAATTGCATGGAATTCCATATTGGAACTTGGTACAGAATTGTGTACTTAATAAACTTTTCGTCTAATGGTTTAGCATTGGATGAATTCTTGAATTGGTGTTAATTTATTACCTTCCTTTGTTTACCAGGAATCCATACCTGTTTTGTTTGTAAGCAGAGTGGGGAAGATGTTAAAAGGTGCCTTTTGCCCTTGTGTGGAAAGTTTTACCATGAAGAATGTGTCCAGAAGTATCCACCCACTGTCATGCAGAACAAGGGCTTCCGGTGCTCCCTCCACATCTGTATAACCTGTCATGCTGCTAATCCAGCCAGTGTTTCTGCATCTAAAGGTATGGGATTCTTAACATGGACTGATCTAATTACAGAACCTTGGTTTCATTGATAGCATGTATTTCCAGATGCAGTGTGGCATGTCTCTTCATGGCCTCTCTAGCTTTTGTCAGAGTACCAGTATTTTATGTGAGAGAGGGGAAAATAATGGACTAATCCAGCAGTTCTCACATTGTATTCTTTGGAGCCCTATTGTTATGTGGTGGTTTCAAATACTTGGATTTCATGTGTTGTTTAGTTTAGGAAAGTGTTCTGCTGTAAGTCTCCCTCTCTCTACTCCATTAGACTAAAGTACTTTTCTTTTCCTGTGGACCCTTTATATCTGTGGTTGTCAGGTGTAATATTATTCATGCATAAATTTAGGGCAGAATTGAGGTTTTTGTTTTGTGTTAATTTGTTTTGTTTTTTAAATTGGAAACTTCTATTCTGAAACGTCTTTCCTGCTTTATAGAGCTGAGGTTACCAAAAGTGCCTGTGGTTATATAGGCAAAGTTAAGCTTTTAAGTCTGTTCTCAATTGGGAAAACAGACATTTCTGTTTAGTAATAATGGGATCTCTTACTAATTTTTCCTAACCCAAATATTGTGTGTCTATTGTTAAATGCTTATATCCCCAAAGAGCCCCTGCTTCTCCCATAGGGGATCAAACGGGAAAATTACTAGTGTTTTGACTTTTCTTCTAATTAGACTGGCAGTACCTTTTGTAATATGAGTTCCTGAGCCTATAGATCTCATCAGTCTTAAGTACAGTGATTTCACTTGCTTGATCAAAATTACAGTTTAACCATCAGCTTATCTTCCCCTTTTCAGTTGCTATTGTAGTTTGTATTTAGGTGGTTTGGTAATGGTTTTTAGTAGGTGCTGTATATGAGAGGACATACTTTATCTGGAAGGGTTGGAAAGGTTCATTCACCTAAAAGTTCAGGCTTTAAGAATCATACAGTACCAGGCATTGAAAGCAAGCATAGTCTTTCTCCTAGCTGGTCTTTTATTCAGGTTGTGACATCTCCCGTATTTAGTTTGAGGCTGATGCCAGGTTTCCTAGGAGTCAGGGCAATGGATTGAATAGGGCTTTCTTTGGTGAGGTAGGCTCACTTAACAGTTGTGAGATCGGATGCCTTGTGGCAGCTTATCACATAGCTCCCATCTGAGCTTTTTCATAGTGAGTTGTGTGTTTTACGATCCCTTGTCCTAGTAGTGCTTCCTTCTACTAGTGACATTTTCTCAGTGCTTACAAAGACATTTCAATAACTCACGTTGCTTTTATGTTTAATCTCTTTGTTTCTCTTTTACTCCTGGTTTTCCTGCTTCTCCTAATTTTAGGTCGTCTGATGCGCTGTGTTCGCTGCCCTGTGGCATACCATGCCAATGACTTTTGCCTGGCTGCTGGGTCCAAGATTCTTGCATCTAATAGTATCATCTGCCCTAATCACTTTACACCTAGACGGGGCTGCCGAAATCATGAGCATGTTAATGTTAGCTGGTGTTTCGTATGCTCAGAAGGTAAGACGTGACTGCTTAATGTATGAATAGTCTAAAAAGAGATTAATACAGTATTCTAACTGCAACAAAAATAATTTTCTTCACTTTGCTACTAGAGAAATATTGGGAAGTAATGTTCTGAATTAATGATAACAGAACGTTTAAACTTGGGTTTTTTTCCCAAATAGAGAGGGGTTTTATTTTGTTGGGTTTTTTTTACCTTATTTTTATTAAAATGATGAACAAATGAAGGGCGTCTGGGTGGCGCAGTCGGTTGAGCATCTCGCTATTGGTTTTTGCTCATGTCGTGATCTTAGGGCAGTGGGATTGAGCCCTCCCTTGGGCTCAGTGCTTAGCGTGGAGTCAGCTTGAACTTCTCTCTCAACCGTGCCCACTCCCCTCTCCCTAGCTTTTGGGTGCATGCATGTGTGTGCACAAATTCTCTCAAATAAACAAATAGATCCTAAAAAAATAATAATAATAAACAAATGAAACAATAAAGAAAAGACAAGGGGAAGGAAATAAAATTGTCCTTGAAAAATGGGGGAATATGATCAAACAGTGCAAACTTCCAGTTAGAAGATGGGCAAGTTTAGGGGATTTAATGTACAGCATGGTAACTGTAGTTAACAGTACTGTATTGTATATTTGCAAGCTGCTAAAGAGAGTAGATCTTAAAAATTCTCACTACCACCAAAATGAAAAAAATTTTAAGTATGCGAGGTGTTAAATGTTCTACCTAAGCTTATTTTAGCAATCATTTCACAGTATATACATATATCTAGTCATTCTGTTGTACACTTTAACCTTACACGATGTTATAAATCAGTTATATCTTAATAAATCTGGAGGGAGAGAAAGGAAAGATAAAAAATGGAGGAAATGATTAATTAATTAATCATAAATCATCCCAAGTCCCACCATCAGAAAAAAAGCCATTGCTTAATTTTAAGTGATACTACTTAAGATAGTTGTATACAGTTCTAGAAGATGGTATTATATAATAAAGTTGTGTTTCTTTTTTGTTAAATCATTTTGTCATGAATTTAAAGGGATGGAACAAAAGGAAAGTGAAGGAATTTATGAATGTCTATAAAATATTTTTTCACTCTTAGGGATATTAATTTCTAAAAGTTCTTCTGAAGTGGATGAAGAAAAATTGATATTTTTTTCTCTTCAACTTAAAACATAGTTCTCCTTTAGAATAGTGTTAGGCTTTTAATATATATTTATATATATATGTATATGCCACCAGTTAAACTCTTCTGCCTACCTCCCATCCATCTATGCAGATAAATCCTGTTGATTTCTTTTCTCATATTCTCTCTCAGCTCATATCATGTGTCCTTCCCTGCAAAACTGTTTGCCACTATTTCCCCTCAGCTCTGTCCTTTGCCTTTCTTCAATGGGTATTCTTATGTGCAGATTTCTTTTCATGCTGTCTAACCTCCTTTTAAGGCCTAGTGCAAAGGCCTTTTTGTACATGAAATATTTCTAGTGTATAATGAAAGCCAACTTAGCAAAAGGAAGATTTTTCTACCAAGTCCATGTAGTTTGCAGACTATACTGTTAATTAGATTGTGACTCAGCTGCAATAACTAAGCATAAATAAGAGATGTTCTAGAAGGTATATTACTGGGTCAGATAATTATGGACTCTGCATCATTCTTACGTCCCATGCTAAGATTGTTCAACTCGTCCTACAAAATGCCCGGGAATAGCTAAATACGAGTTTCAGAGCAGAGAGTACAGGTTATATGTATTGAGTAAACAAGTTCTTCAAAGTTGTAGCAAAAGTCTTTTTTCCAAATATCACTGAATCAAGCTACAATATACAGCAGAGATAAGAGAAAAGCTTCTGTAACTGAAAAGGAGTTGGGTCGTAGGCACACAGTCCTGGCCCCAAGAAAATAAACACCCCAAAGCTTATTTTAAGAGCCTGCTTCAGATGATTAAGAAAAGGAAAAAAGTTAGCATGGTTAGGATGGGGTCACAAAACGTTAAATTTTTTATAAGATATTATGAGGCAAAATGGGCATAGTAAAACCCAGATGGATGTAGACATACACTTTGCTAAGACTTTGCAACATGCTCATTTCTGGCATAAGATAATAGGGTATTTATTATATTCCTTAAATATGAATCATCTTGATACGAAATTTTTTATAGTCTGCAACCATGGGTTTCAGCTTCAGATATATAAATTGAGTCACTCTGAAAAATCTTCAAGTGAAAATTCATTGTCATTGCAATGTATTTAATTACCCTGGTGTCTGAAAACCTCCATGGAGGGGGAGAACTTTAACTGAAGTTTAGGCAACAAACCGCATTAGTACTTGTAATTTTTGTCACCATTGAAAATCACAGATATTTCAGTTTAGATATCTTAAAGTATCTTGCAATCATTGTTATTGCTAGATCTTACTTTTGTATTACAAAGAAACATGTAGCTATAATCTCTTGTTCTAACATTTTGATAATTATACCTTAATGTAACAGTGTCCTTTTAATATATGTTTTAGGTTAGAGCGTTCATAAATGATAATCTGAAAAGAGCCCATAGGTATCAGAGTGCAAAACATAAAAAAGATTAAAGAGTTAGTAATTTTAAAAGGGGGAAGGAGGTGACCATACAGGGATGACTTCAATGTCAAACATTACTGTGCCGTTTATTCATTTGTTTAGTCTTCAGATAGATTTGATTATTTACTTATGTTGTGGAAAATTTAGTGTATTGTCTTTTAGTGAAGAGAAAGAAATGTGTATTATGCACATATTTGACTTTGGGAAGTTGACTTCTGACCACTGCCCTAACCTAATTTTGCCAGTGGGATCTCATGTTTATTTGCTGTGAATATAACAAACCCTCAAGGTTGTGATTCACAGGAATATTGGAGAGGAGCGAAGTGCTCATGAAGAAAAGTCTTTCTGAATAACTAATTAAATTACTAAGCCCTTCGCTGGGCGATAAATAATTGGTTAGGAGCAAAAGCCGTTTCAGCTGGGTCATTGTGTGCTACCTTGTGATTCTGAGTGCCACGTTTTTTTTGATTCCCACAGGAGGCAGCCTTTTGTGCTGTGATTCTTGCCCTGCTGCTTTTCATCGGGAGTGCCTGAACATTGATATCCCTGAAGGAAACTGGTATTGCAATGATTGTAAGGCAGGCAAAAAGCCACATTACAGGGAAATTGTCTGGGTAAAAGTTGGACGATACAGGTGAGTGAGCATGAAGGAGACTGGCACTGATTTCTTTTACCATCCCGTCTTCTGTTTCTTTGGATCCAGATACAGTGCTTAACTCTTTTTCTTTCCTTTCTTTTTTTTTTTTTTTTTTTTAAATATTTTATTTATTTATTTGACAGAGATCACAAGTAGGCAGAGAAGCAGGCAGAGAGAGATAGGAGGAAGCAGACTCTCTGCTAAGCAGAGAGCCCGATGCGGGGCCCGATCCCTGGACCCTGGGATCATGACCTGAGCTGAAGGCAGAGGCTTTAACCCACTGAGCCACCCAGGCGCCCCTCTTTCTTTCTTTTTTAAATAATTTTTCTGATTAAGCAAGGTCAACCTCTCTGCCCATTAATTTTCCATTATAAGAAAAAGACCTCATTTTTATGTTTTGTAAATATGGGAATAATACATATTCTCTGTAGAAAATTCATTAATGAAAATAAACCCATAATAAACAAGGAAGATACATTGCTAACAGTTTGGCATATTTATTTGGAGACACCAGTGCATGTACCCTCAAAATAATTGGCCTTATATTTATACTCAGTTTTTATCTTTTCCTTTTTAAAATTATTTTTATTGAACATAGAATATATAAAAGAATATCATAACATGCATGATTTAAAAAGATTAGAAAGGAACATCTGTGTATGGTACCTCCCATTTAAAGAAATACCATATTGCTGGTACTTTTGAGGCTCCCTCCATGACTCTTTACTGAATCCAGTCTCTCCCCACCCCTAGAGGTAACCACTATACTGCATTTTGTGTTTTTTTATTCCTTTGCCTTGCTATAATGGTTTACCACATGTATAATGTTTTGTTCTGCATGTTGTAGACCTTTTCGTAAAGAAATTCTTGCTGTATTTTCCTGCAGCTTGTTTTTCTCATTTACTATTATGCTCCTGAGATTTGTAGTAGTGCAGTACTCTAGTTCATACTTTGCTGTTCTACATTTCTTTTTGCTATAGTTTTAAAATATAGTGCAGTTCCTTTATCCATTCTCCTCTTTGGACTATGAGCATTTTGTCAATCTTCCTTAGTGTACATGCATAGTTTTTCTAGGAATAGGGGTTTCCAGCTTAACTAGCAAATGCCAAGTTGTCTTTCTAAAGTGGATGTAAAGCATAAATTTGTATGCTTTTTATTTTATTTTCAGAGGCATTTCTTGGTGTCTTTGGTGGGGGGTATGTCATTTTTCTATACCCTTCACAATTAATGAAACTTTTACTTTTTAAAGGCCAAATTGAGGGGCACCTAGGTGGCTCAGTGGGTTGAGCCTCTACCTTCCACTCAGATCATGATCTCAGGGTCCTGGGATCAAGCCCTGCATCGGGCTCCCTGCTCAGAGGGGAGCCTGCTTCCCCCTCTCTCTCTGCCTGCTGCTCTGCCTACTTGTGATATCTCTCTCTCTCTCTCTCTCTCTCTCGCTCGCTCGCTCTGTCTGTCCAATTAAAAAAAAAAAGGCCAAATTGTATTTCATTGTATCATATTCTGTAGTAACTTTATCATTCACTAAATGTTGAGCATTTAGATTGTTTCCAGGTTTTCATTCTTATAGATAATACTTAAGTGAACATTATAGTCAAAGCTTTGTTTCTATCTTATATGAGATAATTATTATTTACTGTTAAATTATTATTTCCTTTATAATTTCCTTAAAGTAACTGGGTCTTAAAAGTGTCTATGTGAGCACATCTGTGAGGGTGGCCATTCAGGTTTTCAGCACATATTACTCATTGTTCTCTAGTTAGATTGTAAAAATGCACTAGGTTGGACCATTCCTTATTCATGTCCTAAGAAATAGGTCATTTTCCTAGTGTCTTAGAGCCTTCTAAAGATTTCCTTCCTTATTTTCACCTTTCCCAGGTGGTGGCCAGCTGAGATCTGCCATCCTCGCGCTGTACCTTCCAATATCGATAAGATGAGACATGATGTGGGCGAGTTCCCTGTGCTCTTCTTTGGGTCTAATGACTATCTGTGGACACATCAGGCCCGAGTCTTTCCCTATATGGAGGGGGATGTGAGCAGCAAGGATAAGATGGGCAAAGGAGTGGATGGGACATATAAAAAAGGTAACTTTATTCTTTTGTTTCGCAGGCCAACACAGACCTCTGTTGCCCACGTATCTATTCTGTTGTGTGTTAGAATTCACATATGTTCCATTAGCAGCTGTGTTCTTTTCTCTGGGGCAGCTACAAGATTTTACAGGAAAGTTGATCTGCATAATTACTTTTTAGCCTTGCCTTTATATAGCAGGAATTTCCTTTAGGGAGGTTTTTGTCTCACTAGTTGGTTTCTCAACATCTTTTTGTTTTGTTTTAAAGAGTTTATTTTTTTATTTGTCAAAGAGAGAGAGAGAGAGCACAAGCAGGGGGAGTGGCAGGCAAAGGGAGAAGCAGGCTCCCTGCTGAAGCTCTGGGATTCTGCTCTTTCTATGCCTCAACCCTAGGCTGGCTGGGTGCCTCTGCCTTCAAGGAATACATAACGTTTTTATGGGGGAATTGGATACAGATGAAAGCAGTCAAAATGTTACTCATAGCGTGTTGTGGCAGAACTGTGCATGCTATGCTATGGGAATAGACCAAGAGGAAGCATAACTGTGCTGGAGATCAGAGTTAGGCAGTCATGGGTAGGTTTTTTCCCTTGAGACTTTGAAGAGTGAACCTTAATAATCGTTATCATTTGTTGTTTGCCAGGCCCTGTTTAGTTTTCTGCTTTAAGTCCTTGTGACAACAGTTTAAGTTAGATGTCTTTATCCTTACCTTACAGATGAGGAAGCTGAGGCACATAAAATTTAAATACTTGCCCAAGGTGCCAGGGCCAGTAAGTGAAGAGGAAAGTTTCAAATTCTAGCAATCAGGCTCCAGAATCCTAACTCTTCACTCACACTGAAAGTGAAGAAATAAACAAATGAAAATGTTAACAAGAAAACAGCACATGGGAAAACATATATTAAATCTAACATGTTGAGTGAATGACCTCTAGCTATGTGTTATAGCTTAAGATGGGGTTGGGGGAACACAGGGCTGTTAGCCAGAAAAGGTGGTAGGTAAGTTACATGGTCAGAGCAGAGTTTTTAGAAATCTTTGAGTTTGGGAACTGTAGAAGATGAGAGGCTGTGGCCAGGGATGTCTGTGAGGTGACTGTTTTGGTAGTTCCAGGCAGAGAAAAGCTTGTCATAGTGAAGTGTCCCTGGGGTGGAGAGGATGATGGGTACTTGAATAGACATTAAGTAGACAGACTAGTCAGGACATTCTGAATAATAGAATGAAGAAAGGAGTGATAATTTAAAAAACAAAAACAACGAACAAAAAATTTAGAGGATTCCAGGCAACAAAAGCTCTTTTAGATGTTTAGCAGGGAAATGGACAAAAGGGGATATGGACCAAAGGAGTTGTTTTCTTTAAAGAATTGACGGAATATGGGGAAAGCTACAGAGAGGAAAGGAGGGAAGAATTAGAGTTCTTTTGAGAGTTTTTAATCTAGGTTACAAGGAATTAATTTTTGAAAAGAATGAATGAAAAATTTGTTATAACTGGGAAAGAATGAGAATCTTAAGATTTTGTTGGACTTCTAAGATATTACAGTCTTTTAAGCATATGAAAGTACAGGACTTGAATATAAATCAGCTATGAAGATCTGTGTATCATTACAGCTAATAGTTGATATTTACAGAATGAATCTTAGGAGAGGAATAGAACAGGTGCTCTTTAGAGAATTAGGCAAGAAGGAGAGGGAAACTTCAACTCTTAATTTCTTCCAGAGGAGTGCAGCATGTTACTTGGCACCTAGAAGACAGAATGTTTCTAGAGGCAGGAGGTTCAGAACTGAGGAAAGAATTAAGCTTAATGAACTACAGTGACTTAGCTGAGCAGATACAGTCTCATTGTCATTAGGAAATGTTATTTGTGGGCTTTTTCAAATCGTTTAGCTAGATTTGTTTTTGTTTTAAATTTTCTTCTGACGGTGGTAGTCTTTATTGTGCCGTGTAGTAGTAGATTGTGTTTTGTCTTAATACTATATCTGAATACCCTGGGGACTATAAATTAACTTGAAAATAGCAGTCATATGTACTTCTTAGTTTTCCATATAATGCTGCCTGAATTTTTTTTTTTTTTTTTTTTTTTAAATTAGAGAGCGAGTGAGCACAAGTCGGGGAAGGGTGTTGAGGGAGAAGCAGGCTCCCTGCTGAGCAAAGAGCCCAGTGCGGGGCTTGATCCCAGGACCCTGAGATCATGACCTGAGCTGGAGGCAGACATTTAACTGACTGAGCCACCCAGGTGGTCCGGTGCTGGCCGACTTTATTGTCTAAAGCATGGATTTTTCCCCCAACTTTAAAGGGGGAAAAAAGACAAAATAAACTACTCCACCCAAGATTAAGTGACTTGTGCTGTGTGTTTTCTTAGCTCTTCAGGAAGCTGCAGCAAGGTTTGAGGAGTTAAAGGCCCAGAAAGAGCTAAGACAGCTCCAGGAAGACCGAAAGAATGACAAGAAACCGCCGCCTTACAAACATATAAAGGTGAGAAAAGACTGCAGGAGACTCTGTTCTCCAGGAGAGACCCTGTTATAGAGTGCTGTCTTCCTGCTCTGTTCATGAAGAGGATTGGAAGCACAAGCACAGTTGCTCTAGGTAGAGGTGTGAACTTGAAAGAAGATAAGAAAAAGTTCCAGAGCACCATTCCTCACACATTGTCTACGGTTTATATAAAGTCAGTTGTGTGTTGATAACTTTTTCTGTTGCCTTGGAAAGTCTTCTTATAGAAGGGACTGGATTAGAGTCTCTGCACAAGCAACATCTTACAGTTTGAAGGGGATTCAAGAAGCATGATAAAAAATTATAAATAGCCCTGAGATAGTATGACTAATACACATGGTAAGTCTTCTTGGTAATGTCTGATACTAAAGATATTTTAGGTAACCAGTATGATTAGGTTTCCCAAGGTCAGGAGAATTCATGTTAGGTGTACCTAACCCCTGATGTGCCTAATAGGAGTGATCACCATTTATCATCTGGGTCCAGTGGACCCTTTGTATTTTTTAATGTTTTAAATCATTTTTATGAATAATTTACAGAAGTAAAAATGCAGGAATAATGAACAAATTTATCAGACATTTTAGTAAATATTTACTAAAACCACTCTTTTAAAAACCTGAGTTTTATTAAGTTAGTTGTAGTGTTCAAACATCAGAAAACATGAAAGAATACTATTAGCTCTGTTAACAATGTGAGACTGCCCAGGTTCTTATTGTAGAGTATTTGTGGTGATGTCATTCCTGAATAAGAATACCATATTTCTTTTTTGTCAGTAGAAATTCATTGTTAGTGTACCCATTAATATTTGGGTTTCTGAAGTCTTAGAGTCTGAGGTTTCACATAGAGATCAATTTCACCACCATCTTTAGAGTCTAATGTGATCAAGTGTATCCCAAGTATTCCATGGGACATACTTAAACTAAAAAAACTTAAAAAAAAAAAAAAAAATCCGAAATTCAAATTTAAGCAGGTGTCCTAGATTTTTATTTCCTCAATAAAGCAACCCTACTAAAAGCATACTATAAAGATGTTATCTCTAATCTTTCATACTTTCTAGAAAGGTTATTTAATACTTTGGGCAATGCAATAGAGAAACTAAAGTGTCACTGTTTCACTGTTGCATGCATAAGCTTTTGTGATACCATTATTTTTCTGTTTTCTTGTTAGTTTAGTATTTTTTGGTAATGGTGGAAAACACTAATTAGTAACTATGAATAACGATGAAATAATAAAATGTTATGAGATACAGGTAATTAAGAACACTAAAATTCCATAATGTAGCTTAGATTTTTTAAAAGGGTTTAGTGGATGTTTTTGGTAGTTGCAGGATAGAGTGAGGGAGGTTTTTTTCCTTTCCTTCTTTCTTTCTTTCTTTTTTTTTAAGTGAATTTTCTTTTTGATCTTCATAAGACCTCTAAGAAAGAATAAAATTCATAAAATAATCATCCTTATAGATAAAACTGCTGAAGAAAATATACTCAAAACTTAAAATTGGGTCTAAATGATGGTGGTATACTGAGAGTTAAATGGAGTTAATTGTGCATGGAGATATAACATAGTGCACGGAGTTCTAAGTGTAGTTAGGCCTCAAAAAGGAAAAGAATCTGGTTCTCACAGTAATAGGTGTCAGATAACAGCAAGGGAGGTATTTCAGAGTAGCATGTCAAGCATAGGAAGCTCTTGAGAGAACAGCTTCCTGGAATTGATCTAAATCACAGAATTTAGAAGCCAACTTCTTTCCTCTCCATACCCCTTCCCCACCTTTTTAAAAACAAACAAATAACGTTTCCAGGAAAAACTTTTAGAACAAGGGTTAGCAGACTATAGTCTGTGGACCAAATCTGGCTTACTGTGGTTGGGGTAAAAATAAAAATGAGAAGAATATTTCCAGGGACGTGAAGATTACATGAAATTCAAATATTAGTGTCCATAAATGAAGTTTTGACATTCATCCATCTTACTTATTTTGCTTCTTTTATGCTACAGTGACAGAATTGAACTACACACACCAGAAATCTGTAGCCTGCAGAACCCACACTATTTACTGTCTGGCCTTTTCTAGGAAAAGTTTGTTAATCCCTGATCTAGAGTGAGCATTTAACTGTACTTATGTATCTATATTCTTAACTATGTGTTTTGTTTGTTTGTTTATATGTTAGGCAAGAAACTTATTTGGGATTAATAACAGGTTAGATCAGATGTTAAGAAAAAATGATAGAAATATATTTTTTATAGAAAGAAAAGGAGTAGAATGAAACTTTCATGGGAGGGAGGTCAGGTAAAGATACCTTGAAACAAGTATCTGTGTTCTAATGCCCTGTGTGTAGGACCTGCAGTCTGAGGTGATTGAGTTAGTCCTTACCTTCTGTCCCCTTAGAGTTTGCTTTCCTCAGGATTGTGACTTCCATTTGCATGTGGTAGGAGTATTCCTCCATTAACAGAAAGTTTACAGGTTTTGTGTGTGGGTTTTTTTTTTTTTTTTTAAGATTTTATTTATTTATTAGGGCAGGGAGAGTGAGACAGCACAAATAGGGAAAGCAGCAGAAGCAGGCTCCCTGCTGAGCTGGGAGCCCGACAGGGTTCAATTCCAGGACTCTGGGATTATGACCTGAACCAAATGCAGACCCTTAACTATCTGAGCCACCCAGACACCCTCAAGAGTCTACAGTCTTTGCCTGTATTTTGAAGTATCTGGGAAGAGGATCTGGCAGAGTTACATCCTTGTAAGGTGTTATCAAGAACAGGTTTGAGAACAATATACTTCTGCAGACAGATTGGAGATTTTATAATATTGTTAAGAGGCAAAAACTAAAATGTTAGAAATGAAACCTTTTGGGAATTTAGAGGATGGAAAAAACTTGTTAATCATGGTGATTTCATTTTGTTTTTGTTTTTAAAAGATTTTATTTATTTATTGACAGAGATGACAAATAGGCAGAGAGAGAGAGAGAGGAGGAAGCAGGCTCCCTGACAAGCAGAGAGCCCGATGCAGGGCTCGATCCCAGGACTCTGGGATCATGACCTGAGCCAAAGGCAGAAGCTTTAACCCACTGAGCCACCCAGGCACCCCTTCATTTTTTGTTTTGTATTTTATTTTATATTTTTGAGCCCAATGCGAGGCTTGAACTCATGGCCCTGAGATCAAGAGCTGGATGCTTAGTTGAGCCACCCAGGTGCCCCAGTCATATTTTATTACTATTATTTTTTAAGATTTTACTTATTTATTTGACAGAGAGAGAGATCACAAGTAGGCAGAGAGGCAGGCAGAGAGAGAGGAAGCTCCTTGCTGAGCAGAGAGCCTGATGCGGGGCTTGATCCCAGGATCCTGAGATTATGACCTGAGCCTAAGGCAGAGGCTTTATTAAACACTGAGCCACCCAGGCGCCCCAGTCATAGTGATTTTAGACTGAATGGATGTGATATTCTAGAATATTTTATGTGACAAATAATAAAATGGATATTAAAAGAAAAAAATTATACTATCTGCCATGTTTTAAGAGGTTGGTAGACTCTGTAGTCTTTTTACATGTATTTCTTTTTCTTTTTACATGTATTTCTTATTCTCACACTAATCTTGCAAGTGAAGTGATTTGTCAAAATCACAAAATTCCTGAAAAGCCAATTTTTATGTATGGGATGGGTTTTTGATGATGCACGGTTTGACTGTTGCCGACAATACCAGGTAGGGGAGACTCATTCTCATAGTGCCCAAATCAGCATTTGTGTTGTGGAATGTTTTTTTTTTTTTCTTCAGCATTGTTGCTAGCATTTGGAAAATGCTAACACCTTCAGTGTTACAGAGGCTGTTTGACCTCTATGTTTTATCACCAGATTTTCACTGTAGTTTTTTAGTACTAGCACCAGTACTGAATAAATACGAGTGACGTTGCTGTAGTCTATTAAAAAGATTTCAAACTATGGTAGTAAATATTAAAAATATTTCTTCACATACGGGAGGAATCCCAGTTACCCAAAGACATTTTCATGTCAACCATTTGCCAGTTAAAAAATTTTTTTTAGTGTAGCAGCTAACATGGCGCCACCATGTGGTAATAGCAGAAACCCAGTTTATACTTCACTTGGCCTACCAACTTTGAAATTACGATATTCATAAAGTGATTTTTAAAAAATTTTTGTGGGATCCATAATTTGTTTATTAAGTAAGTTTTTATGTCAGACTTAATCTTTTTTCCTCAATTTTTTTATTGTAGTGAAATATAGATAAAATAGGTAAATCATTTTTAAACATATAAAGTTCAGATATTAAGTGCATATTAAAGATATTAAATGCATTCATAATGTTTGCATTCGTTACCATCATCCATCTCTAGGCCTCTTTGCATCTGGTAAAACTGAAACTCTGTACCCGTTAAGCATTAACTCTCCATTCTCCCCTCCTCTCATTGCTTGGCAACTACCATTCTACTTTTTCCTCTACGATTTTCACTACTCTAAGTACCTTATATACATACGGTATTTGTCTTTTTGTCACTGATTTATTTCACATAACATAATGTCCTCCAGGTCTGTCCATGTTGTAACATGTGAGAATTTCCTTTCTTTTTAAGCTGAATAATATTCCATTACTTGTACCACATTTAGCTATTGTGAATAATATCCTAAGTTCCAAGTCATGTAAAATGTTGCATGCAACTTCAAAGAAAAGAAGTCTAACTTTTATAGGTCCTGAGTTGTCTTGTGTTGACTAGTCTGATGTTCTGTAGTATGTGTTTCTTCTGCAGGTGAACCGTCCTATTGGCAGGGTACAGATCTTCACTGCAGACTTGTCTGAAATTCCCCGTTGCAACTGTAAAGCTACTGATGATAACCCCTGTGGGATAGACTCTGAGTGCATCAATCGCATGCTGCTTTATGAGTGCCACCCCACAGTGTGTCCTGCTGGAGGACGCTGCCAAAACCAGTGCTTCACTAAGCGCCAGTATCCAGAGGTTGAAATTTTCCGCACATTACAGAGGGGCTGGGGTCTCCGGACAAAAACAGATATTAAAAAGGTGAAGAAAATTTTTCATAATTTCCAGATTTTTTTTTCTTCTTTACAATTGCTTAATATGGATAATTATTCTTGATGAATATGAGAAAATGATCATTAGAGGAAAGAAAACATAGTGTAAGGAGTGACATTATTCTTGGGTCCTGCTGTGTCTTTCTAGAGTTTAGATGCTTGAGGATAGTCTCCTTTACCTCTAAAGTCCTTGGTAGTGATCACGTTCATGCCGTATGAGGATGAAAAAGTGAATTCGTAGAGATACCATGGTTTTATTTGCTCTTTTGTGACAATCCTGGAACTTGTAGTTAAGAGGTAGGGGATAATGAGTATGTGATATAGAGGTGTTAATCACATAGTGAAATAAAATCTGTTTTTACTAAGGGAAAATCAGTTTTTGTTCATGGAAAATGAAGAAGAGGATTAGGCCTTCTCTAATAAAAGTGCAGTAACATCTTCAACTTCAAACTTAGAAAGACCTGCAAGTTTCTAATAGAGAATATTATATAGTCTTTTTGTAGAATAAGTCTTTTTTGACCTTTTAATAAAATAAATCTTACTCTAGTTATGCTTTCTGAAGAATTTTACTGAAGTTTGTGTCTAGAAAATGATGTGAATATTGGCTGTTCTGTTATTTGCTCAGTAGCTGTTATATATCTACTGTGTGCCAGGCATTGTGGTACAAATGCAGTGATAAATAAGAGAGGCATAGTCCATGCTTTCATAAAGTTTACATTCTAAGGGGGAGAGACATTGATCAGGTAGTCACCCAATGTGGAAGCACAAAGGGTTCTAGAGGCATACAGTAAATGGTAAAGGGCCTGAAACTAGCTTTGACTCAGAGAATGTTTTAAGCTGAGAATTGAAGGATAAGAAGTTTTTGGCTCAAGATAGGTGAGTGTTAAAGCACTGCTGGCAAAGCAGACAGCCTGAGGGAAAGCCAGTATGACTGTAGCTCAGTGAATCAGGAGGACAGTAGTGTAAAATGTGGAAGGGCGGCAGGCAGGGCATAGTCAAAGGAAAAGGAACATAGTTTATGGAAACTGATTTTCAGGTTTGGGGGCATTTAAAGGGATCGACTATGTATATCACCATTTTAATGGAGCCCTACTTCATAGAGTAGTTTACCTACTTCTATGTTAGTTGATCTCTAATGTCCAGTGTATCCCAGTCTTTGTCCTGGTGACAGTGATAGGAGTGGGGAGGTATTTTTCATTGTCAAATAGTTGAAGCATCATATTTATGTTTCTTGAATAAACCTTTGTTAAATTGACTAGGTATATGTACGTGAACTGCTTTGGAGATTTGTTTTCATTAATTTTTTAAAAGATAAGGTATATCTGGGAACACAAGTTGAGTTTTTTGCCATTAAGAACTGTTTCTTGTTCTAGGGTGAATTTGTGAATGAGTATGTGGGTGAGCTAATAGATGAAGAAGAGTGCAGAGCTCGAATTCGTTATGCCCAAGAACACGACATCACTAATTTCTATATGCTTACTCTGGACAAAGTAAGTGTTCTTTCCATCGTTACAAGCCTGGGAAATTGACATTGTCCCAGCCATAGTGTTTGTAGGCATGTAGTTCACTGCCAAAACAGCATCTTCATAGAGTTTGCTTTGTCAAGTTTCTGGAGTAGATAAATTTGCTCATTTCTGGCTATACATCCCTTGCCAGAGTCAACAGAGCTGCTATTGGCATTCTTTTTGAACTGTCCAATACAAGTTGGGTATTAGGTCTTTTAGCATTTTTCCTATAAGATTAAAACCTGAAGCCAGCCAAGTAAATAATCATTCTTCCACCCTTTTATTTTACAGATTGAGAAACTGATTTGCTAATATTTAGTGCATTGAGGAGGTCATAATAAATTGTAGAACTCAACTTCTGAACTCAAGTCATCTTTTCAATCACAGGAATTTGCTGAGGACTTTCATTTCATTAGTGCCTAGAATTATATATGGGACTCATTCCTAATTCCAGTAGACTAATGTATTTATTTTCTGTGTATCAGACTTTTTTCCTTATACCTGAATGTTAAAGTCTATTAGCAGTTCCTGGACCCTTCTGTTGGCTGTTGTAACTGAATTCTTTCCTGGTGTGGAACTTTGTGAACAGTTATTAAGTTGAACCCTTTAAGAGATTGTCACCTCTAGGTGTTCACATCTTCATTTGGGATGGGGTGTGAGCGTCAGTGTTAAAAACACCTTGGCTGATTTCTAATGTGCCACCAGGGTTCAGGACCACCTAATTGAGAGGATAGGGCAATCTGCTACTTCTAGGGCATTGGTCCTCAAACTTCAGCATATATCAGAATTATCTAGTGGGCTTGTTATAACACAGATTGCTGGGCCCCACCTCAGAGTTTCTGCTTTAGTATATCTGAAGTGCAGCCCAAGAATTTGTATTTCCAACAAGTAATAGATGTGGTGCTAGTGCTAGATTAGTGACTGCACTTTGAGAACCACTCCTGGGACTGTCAAACTTCACAAAAGGAGCTCTAGCTTGTTAGAACATACAGGAAACATCTAATGAGCATCATCTCTTGGAATTCTAGGACCGGATCATTGATGCTGGTCCCAAAGGAAACTATGCTCGCTTCATGAATCATTGCTGCCAGCCCAACTGTGAAACACAGAAATGGTCTGTGAATGGAGATACCCGTGTTGGTCTTTTTGCCCTGAGTGACATTAAAGCAGGTAAGAATCAGTTAAGGATTCTGGAGCTAAGAAAGGAATTTCAGGTTTTATCAATGAAAAATCCCGTATGTCCTGTAATCTGAAATAAGGAATATTTTTGGTGGTGATGATGGTATGGCAGAATATACATAACATAAAGTTCATCATTTAACCATTTTTTAAAATTGTACAGTTTTGTGGCAGTAGATCCATTCCCACTGTTGTGCAGCTGTCACCTCCATCCATCTCTATAACCTTTCATCTTCCCCAAATGAAACTACCCATTAAATACTAATTCCCCATTTTCTCTCCCCTCAGCCCCTGGAACCACTGCCAGACACTATTCCAAGCATATTATCCTGTTTAATCCTTTAAAAAATGTTAGTGAAGTATATGGTATTAGATACCGGTGTTACTTGGATTCTTGGGTCTGGCACCTCTAACCATCCTGGGGGTGTGTCCTATGTATTAGTTACTCAAATGTTATCCAGGCCCAAGACTTTGGTCCTTCTATCTCTCCTGACTGCTTTCAACATATTTGTACTTGTAACTTTAGTCTTTGTTCATGGCGATGGATTCCTCTACCATTTCTAGCCATAAATTTTTCTTCTCTCTTCTCCCATATTCACTTATCTCAAGTAGCATGGTACGGGAATTCACAGACTTTGTTCTTGTCCTCACTTGACTTCCAGTCTGCATGATGAGGATGAGAGGAATGAGACAGAATGCTTAGTGCTATGCAGCGTTCTGTGGAGCTGCAGCCTTGACAGACTGAATCAGAACTTTTCAGCTTGCTGTCTTTACTCATTCATGTTCATGGACTCTTCAATACCTGTTATACTTTCTACCACAAGTGTCGTACTCCTTGTTTATCTTTATTTTTTCCTTGTTTATCTTTTTTCCAACGCCCTTTCATCCCCATGAGTGCAGACCTCAAGGATTGTTGTATATTGGGCTCTTTTCTAAAATGGTATGAGTCTTTCCTTTATGAACAATACCTTCTGATTTATGCCTTGTGCAGTTACATTTACATAGTGGATTGTGAGTAAGCAGCAGGTTATGTCTAGTATCCTGCCACCTTATATTTGGGTATATGCTTGAGTTGTATTATAAGCACATTAAATTAATGAAAACTCAGTTATATACTCATAAATTCTTTTTTTTTTTTTTAAGATTTTATTTATTTATCTGACAGAGATTACAAGTAGGCAGAGAGGCAGTCAGAGAGAGGAGGAAGCAGGCTCCCCGCTGAGCAGAGAGCCCTATGCAGGGCTCGGTCCCAGGACCCTGAGATCATGACCTGAGCCGAAGGCAGAGGCTTTAAACCACTGAGCCACCCAGGCGCTCTATACACATAAATTCTTAATAAGAAAGGAGTAGTATGAGTAGAATTATCTATCATTCAGTAATTTCACAGTAAATGTGAGAGGGGAGACAGAACCCTACTCTTACCTTGGTCAGTCTCAGTTCCTGCAAGCTCCTTGCAGTGTGAACCTCTCACCAGGCTGTGAGTAAGTCCAGTTTTTGTACCATTTGGACCCCTAAATGTAAGGCAGCTGCTTTATAATTTGCTTAGCTGAATAAATAAAAAGTGATCTATAGTAATCCAATATTAGATCTAAAACTATATATATGAGTTTATCTCATTGATGGAAGAAAGGTCAGTCTGCAGTGGGAGAGCTAAGATTTGATCATTTTGACCAAATAATTGTCACTTCACACTTAATGGTAAGCGAACCATTACCCAACCCAGAGTTAATCTCTTTGTATACATACATAAAATTCTTGTATTTGTTAGGCCTTCCTTAATGTGCTTTGAATTTGAATGGTTGTGTGTTTTATTTCCTCTCTTAGTTTTGATAAGATGCACTTTTGAGAGAAAGGGAACAATTTGTACTTTAAATTTGTATATCTCTTTTTTAAAGTTTACAAATTACTGCTGTGTGCATTATGTCATATTCTCTAAATAAGCTTGCACGGTGGTGGTTTCTCTGTTTTACAAATATACTTAGGGTTCAAATCACCCAGCTAGATAGTGATTACAGGGATATAAAGCCAGGGCCCAAGTCTGTGGTGTAGAGTTCTGTAGTATTACTTTGTATTGAGATGTCATCTCCTTGAGTTCTGCTAGGTTTGGCACAGATCAACAGGTTTTCTTCGTATACTTGCATTCCCAGTGCCTAGCACAGTGAGTTGTTGTTTGTTTCGGTAATGAATTAATATTTTGGATCTGAATTTATTAGAAAATAAAAAATAACTTAGGATAATTAACATCTCTAAAGTAAAAGTTATTTTAAATATTACTTATTAACCTTTATCAGTTTTTCTCTTATTAAGTTGTATTTGCTTATTAATAATATTATAGGATTAGAATTATTTGTATTTCATTAGTATAGTGGGATTAGAGTTAATAAATCCCTTCTATCCTCTGAAAAATCTGTTCTCTTGCAAGTCCGTATCCTTTGTGATGAATACAGAAGTAATGTAATTAAAATCATAGATATTAATATTTTCATGGTCTTTTATGCAGGCACTGAACTTACCTTCAACTACAACCTAGAATGTCTTGGGAATGGAAAGACTGTTTGCAAATGTGGAGCCCCAAACTGCAGTGGCTTTTTGGGTGTAAGGCCAAAGGTACCTTCCACATGTTTCCATCAGAAATAATGGTGTGGTCCTCCCTCCCTAACCAATGGCACAGCTGACTCTTTTAAGATGTCTCTTTGGAATAATGACATTGGATTGTTGTCAGTAGGGCTGCTGGCACTTAACTTAGCATTCCGATGATCAGTTTGGTTATTCAAGAGCAGATCTATAGGTGTTGTTGAATTTTTTTTTTTTTTTTTGAGCAGTCTGACTTCTGATTGGTGATTCTTTTCTAGCTACAAAAGCTATAAAATAGGAAGCCATAAAGTAGGTTACTACCCATGTCTTTATTGGTCTCAGCTAATCTCACTCACATTTCTGAATGAGCTTCTTAGATTCTTGGTATCTGTGTCTGTCTCTTCCTGTCATTGTCTTTTTAAAGATCTCAAAGAATCCAATATTGAATTTAAGATTCTGAATGTAGTGTAACACTGTAGATAAACATAGGACCCTTAATCTTATCTTAACAAAGTATAAGAATTGTTGTTTCTTAATCCCTGAATTTTTATGTGCATTTTAACTGGCTTATAATTCTGTAAAGAATTACTTACAAATCTGTATCCTACATTTCTTAAGTATTATAAAATCTTTTTCCTTGCTGTTGCATAGTCTGTAGTGACTAACCATTGTCTTTAGTGAATTAAATTTTTTATATAATGAATGGACATGCATCCAGAATTTTCTATCCTAAGTTACATTACACTGAAAAGTGAAGTTTAGTTTTGATGAAAAGTACATAGTGACTCAAGTTGGTTATTTCCCATTATGCTTTTTTGATTATGGAAGTCAGTGTTAAGAACTGAAAAATGTAAATCAGCACAAAACCCAATAACTAAAGGGGGAGTAATTTTTTTTTTTCTTTAAGATTTTATTTATTTGTTTGACAGAGAGTGAGCACAAGTAGGGGAAGTGGCAGGCAGGGGGAGAGGGAGAAGCAGAGCCTGACATGGGGCTCGATTCTAGGACCCTGGGTCATGACCTGAGCCAAAGGCAGATGCTTAACCAAATGAGCCACTCAGGCACCCCGGGGGTAATTGTTTTGAGCGAAAACACATAGAGATAGTGAACACCCACCAATTATTCTTTTATAAATTAGGAAAATTATGTTTCTATTTGAGGGTTTTTTCTTTAGTCAGTTAAATGGTCTTGTTCCTTAAGGTGTCCAGTTTACTACCTATAAATCAAAATAATAACTGAGTTTAACCCAGGTTTAATGGTATTACATGCACTAGGGATATCCGTTTTTGCATCCATAACATTTATGTAATATTTCACACATGGATCAGTGAGAGAGAAATTTGAGGGCAGAAGTTAAGAAATGGGAGATCACTGAGGGATAGTCATAGATCAGATTGATCCTGGATGTTTCTAGTCCAAGATAAATAATGTGAAACCCATGGCGTTTGGTAACCAAGGGTGAGCTACAGAGATCATGGAGGAGACCTGCTGGCTGCACCAGGATCTGTCTTGGGGAGTAGTGGATATGAACCTAATTTGATATAGATGAAGGGCACATAGCTTATTGAGGTCAAGGGCCATGAATTATTTTTCTGTGCCTTCCTAGCATATGATTCTTACTAAGTGTTCAGTGAAAGTTTGTTGAACAAAGAAATGTGTGTGCACACACAAACATACACACCTAGACAAACATAAAAGTAAAACTTAATGAAAGGATAACCTTCAACACCAGCCTTGTGTGTTAATAAAAAGAAGGTTTTTTTCTCTTTTATTTCATTCAGGTGGCAGGAGTAGTTGATAGAAAAGTTAGAATTAATGCAACCATTTATTGGGTACCTATGATGTGCCAGGTGCCTTTCTTGCATTTTCTCTTGTCTTTACAACAGTCTGTGAGGACTGTTTCTTCCCAGAGGACAGACTGAGGCTCAGAGAGGATAGTTAACCTGGTCAAGATCACACAACTAATATATCGACAGAATGCTTACTGCTCAATATCTGACCTCTAGAATCAACCCATTGCCACAGAAGAAAAGTCAAAGAAATTCAAGAAGAAGCAACAGGGGAAGCGCAGGACCCAGGGTGAAATCACGAAGGAGAGAGAGGATGAATGTTTCAGCTGTGGGGATGCTGGCCAGCTCGTCTCCTGTAAGAAGCCAGGCTGCCCGAAGGTTTACCACGCTGACTGTCTAAATCTAACCAAGCGACCAGCAGGTTGGTGCCAGATCCGTGTAGAGTGGTCTTCGTTCTCTGCCAGAATTATCAGAGCCCTTTGTCTTCCCACGCATAGTGTTGAAGGGGGTATGGTTCATGTTCTCATTCTGGAAATAAAGGCTTTGGAATCCTAGGTTATAGAGAAGGGAACAGAAACTTACTCATTATATGTCAAGCACTTTATTTACATTTATGTTATGTTATTTTATCCTCCCAGCATCCCATAAAGATGAGACCTTTTCACCTTCCCATGATGCAGATGAGGAAACTGAGAGTCCAGTTTGGTGAGATGACTTGTCACAATAGAGCATGTAGATGGAGGAGGTGGACTGAAAGCCAGGTTTTCTGACTTCAAGGCCACGAAGTCATGTTTCCTTTCTACAAAAAGAAAGGTTGAGACAGCATGGAGTTTGGGGTTATTTCGGTCAGCGAGGCATGGACTAGACACCCTTTTAGCTCCCTTTACGCACTCCCCTATGAAGGAGAGGCAGCTTCTTGGGCAGATCGAGTGTCAGGAGTTTGTGGTTACAGAAGCTACTAACTTTTGAGTGGTAATTTGACGTTAGAAGACTTTGGGGGACTTGGATAGGTGGTCTGGTTTGTTGATGGGGGCAAGAAAGCAGTAGGGAGCCGCTCCAGCTGAGGAGATTTACATCACCACAGGCCTGCTCCCAGGAATTGCAGAGAGAGGACTTTGGGGTGGGAGTGAGAGGAGTTTGTTCCTGAACTAGCTTTCCTTTAATGTATGGTTGCCAGGGAAATGAAATAATAGAAACGGAGGTAGTGTGAGGGTAAGGCCACAGCATGACTTCTCAGTGCCAGGAAGTGGAGATGGAGAATTGTTTCAGAATCAATAGCTCAGGGTTGTAGCTGGCACAGGCTGCAATAGAACTTGTCTTGACTGGGAGCCAGGAGTCAGAGCTAGCATAGTTTATTTGGAAACTGTGAGCCAGGGCCAAAACACCATCCATGGCAGAGACTCTCAGGTGACGAGAAATGGAGGCAAATAGATGGTAGGTTAGGGTCTTTTCCACTGGATCTGTGTGGACAGTACAGGTAAAATTTGTGCTAGTTTCAAGACTTGAAACTGAGCAAAGAAAAATCCGCTCAGTTTTTCAAAACATTTGTACATCTGCTCCCTGTTCCTAAATACAACCAAATAAGCAGAAATTTAAATAGCTAAGATTATCCCTTTAGAGTTGAATATTAAAAGGCTATATTAGACAAATGGAGTTTCAAGACTGTGGAAGTAGTATCTTCACATTCTAAGGGGAGCATTGGGTTTTCCCCCCCTTGCTAGACATAGTCATAGAAATAAGAAATTCCTCCTGCCTGTATATTTAGTTGATACTCAGTTGCTACTTGGTACTTGGCTTATATTTTTGTGTGTTGTGCAGGAGAATCAGATTCTGGGGCAGGGGAGGTATCAGGTGAGTGGCATGAGCTCTCTTAGAAGGTGGCAGTTTGAAATCACTCTTTTGACTTAGGCTCAGGGCCATGGCTCATTTCATGCATCTTGCTTATTTTCCTAAGCGTTTGTTTCACATCTGTGTTTTTAGGGAAATGGGAGTGTCCTTGGCATCAGTGTGACATCTGTGGGAAGGAAGCAGCCTCCTTCTGTGAGATGTGTCCCAGCTCCTTTTGTAAGCAGCATCGGGAAGGGATGCTCTTCATCTCCAAATTGGATGGGCGTTTGTCTTGTACTGAGCATGACCCATGTGGGCCCAACCCTCTGGAACCTGGGGAGATCCGTGAGTATGTGCCTCCCCCAGTACCGCTGCCTCCAGGCCCAGGCACTCACCTGGCAGAGCATTCTTCAGGAGTGGCTGCTCAGGGGCCCAAGATGTTGGATAAGCTACCTGCTGACACCAACCAGACACTGTCACTGTCCAAAAAAGCTCTGGCAGGGACTTGTCAGAGACCACCGCTTCCTGAAAGACCTTCTGACAGAACTGATTCCAGGGCCCAGCCTGTAGATAGGGTCAGGGACCTTGCTGGGTCAGGGACCAAACCCCAATCCTTGGTATCCAGCCAAAAGTCATTGGACAGGCCACCTGCAGTGGCAGGACCAAGACCCCAACTATCGGACAAACTCTCTTCAGTGACTGGAGTAAGCTCCTCGACCTCAGTCAGGTCCCAACCACTGGAAAGACCTCTGGGGACAGCTGACCCAAGGCTGGATAAATCCATAGGTGCTGCCAGCCCAAGGCCCCAGTCACTGGAGAAAACCCCAGTCCCTGCTGGCCTGAGACTTCCACCACCAGACAGACTGCTAGTCACCAGCAGTCCCAAACCCCAGACTTCCGACAGGCCACCTGACAAATCCCATGCTTCTTTGTCCCAGAGACTCCCACCTCCTGACAAAGTACTATCAGCTGTGGTCCAGACCCTGGTAGCTAAAGAAAAAGCACTGAGGCCCGTGGACCAGAATACTCAGTCAAAAAATAGAGCTGCTTTGGTCATGGATCTCATAGACCTGACTCCTCACCAGAAAGAACGGGCTACTTCACCTCATGAGGTCACACCGCAGGTTGATGAGAAGATGCCAGTGTTGGAGTCAAGCTCGTGGACTGCCAGCAAAGGTCTGGGGCAGATGCCGCGAGCTGTAGAGAGAGGCAGTGTGTCAGATCCTGTCCTTCAGCCACCGGGGAAAGCAGCAGTCCCTTCGGAGCACTCCTGGCAACCAGTTAAATCACTCACCCAGGCCAGACTTCTCTCTCAGTCCCCTGCCAAGGCTTTTTTATATGAGCCAACAACTCAGGCCTCAGGAAGAGCACCTGCAGGGGTGGAGCAGACAACAGGGCCTCCCAGCCAAGCACCAGGCCTGGTGAAGCAGGTGAAGCAGATGGCCGGAGGCCAGCAACTCCCTGGACTTGCTGCCAAGAGTGGGCAGTCCTTCAGGCCTCTTGGGAAGGCCCCATCCTCCTTCTGTACTGAAGAGAAGAAGTTGGCAACTGCAGAGCAGAGTCCCTGGGCCCTGGGAAAGGCCTCACCAGGGCCAGGACTCTGGCCCATGGTGGCTGGACAGACAATATCGCCATCTTGCTGGTCCTCTGGGAGCACACAGACATTGGCACAGACTTGCTGGTCTCTTGGAAGAGGGCAGGACCTTAAACCAGAGCAAAATACACTTCCAGCTCTTAATCAGGCTCCTTCCAGTCACAAGTGTGCAGAGTCAGAACAGAAGTAATATGAGTAAATGTCACATGACCAGACCAGCTGCCCCCAGGGTTCTTGGGGAAGGGAAATCCTCTTTCTTTTCCCCTCTTAAAAAACAGACCCCAACACTTTTCCACTGTTAACTCTTTCCTTATATCCCAACACTCAGAACTCTTGTGACATTAGCCAGTGGGGGCATGTGGTTGTGTAAACCATGTATGGAAATCCAAGTGGGCCCCAGCCAAGGAGACAGACAGACTTGGGTCTTTTTCCTCCAACCTTTACACATGGTAACTTGAAATAAAAAGTCCACTCTGGAGTCAAGCATGGGATTCAATTCCACTGGTCAGGTTGGAAGATAGAGGGGCTCTCGGAGTTATTTCTCTAGCCCTACAGAGCCCCACCGAGGGCACCTAATGAACACTTGGGAAGAACTGATAACTGTTCATATCAGTGGTGATTTCTTGAGCATTCACATGTGCTAGGCCAGGTGCTAGTCACTGACAGGAGATAACAGAGATAAGACCTGATCCCTGTGAGCCCAGCATGCCTGCCTAGGTTCCCAGGCTGTTTTGACAAACCTTTGGTCAGGAAATAACAGGAAGTTTTGAGGGGGCCCTGGGGCAACAGACTCATTTTGTAATGTCCTTTATGGCCCCAGAAGAGGTTGTGTTGAGTAAGCGTCACCTGGTTGGGTGTGCATGTATGTGTGTGTGTGTGATGCACGCACGCTCATGTGGAGGTCTCTGTAGGTGGGGTGGGGAGCAGGGGTTTGCATCAAGGCCAAGTGGAGCTGTTGGCTGGGCAGCCGCTACTGCTTTTGTCTGGGCTGTGCAGTCTGAAAATCTGTCCTTGGCAGAGCAGCTGGTTGTTGAGTCTGGGCTCTACAAGGACATAGCTTTCCTGAAGTATAAGAAGGCAATTGGCAAGCTTACCTTTCTTTTCTACCGATTTTCCTCCTTTTACATCAGCCCACCCCACGCCCGCCCCCCCCAAACAGGTGCTTTCAGATTTCAGAGTCGGGCAGTGGATATAGGGAATCTCTGGCACACTCTGGGCTAGATCTACCACCAGCTCAGGGAGAGTGCCAGATCTTGATGGAAAATTACTTCTCTTCTGATACTTTGCCCTCCTATCTGAATGGAGGGCGTCCTCTCCTTCACTGGTGGATTCTACCACCCCATCCCTGAGCATTGCTGTGTTCTGTACTGAGAGCACGTGCCTGCTGACTTTGTTCGGAAGCAGGCCAGAACCCTTCCCCTGTGACTGGCAAGATGTGGTGTTTAGAGCAATGTCCAGTCTGAGAGATGATTCCTCATAACTGCTGATTATCTGTTACTGCTGCCCTGAGCTGGGGCACAAGGGCTGGGAAATCTGTTGGTGCTACCCTGCCCTACCATTCACCCAGCTCACCAACTGCCAACAGGAAGTGCTGTTTGGCCAGTTCCTTCCCATTCACTCACCTCTCCTTTGTCCCTAGACCAAACGTGTTTACCTCTCTGCTTTGCCAACTTAGCCAGCAGCTTTAGCCAACAGGCCATCTCCTGGCCCAGATGTCTCCTGGCCATTCTGTTTCAGTTATGGCTTTTACACCCTTACAAGATTCTGTATTTTGTCCCAATTTCCTCCTCCTAAGTTCCTTTTGAGGTTACATCACTTTTAAGGAGGGAATAATAGTTATAGAAGCATTTGCGCTTTATATAAAGATTAAAAGAAGAATTTGCTTTTATTCCCCAAAGTCTGTCTCGGGTTGAGACACTTGAACTCAGGCAGAGGTACGAGGCTGGGCAGGGCTGTCCCAAGTCTAGGGACCTTTCTCTGTATCCCATTTAGACCTCGAAATCTCCTCTGTAAATTCCACCTGCCTAGTTCTCCCTTTTCATCCTATCTCTCTTCCCACATCATGAGAGAGGAAAAGCTCTTTGTTCAAAAGGAAGAGAAAACAAAGCATCTTATTTTCTTTTTAAAAAAATTTTAAACCATGGAAAAGATATTTTTAAAGAAATCACCCAGAACATTAAAGTTCATTATATTAAGTATTTATCATGTGTGAGAATAATAAGTATATAACTGCAGCTAGTAGGTCCCTTTCCCTAATCTTTTAGGCTGTATGAGTAGGGTTTGCTTGGTGCCAGTCCTGTGCCCTTTTCTCTCCTGTCATCTGTAGTTGTGATCAGAAAAAGATATTCGCACTGCACTGTCAGAATCTTCTTTCACTATGTTGTGTGTTAAATTACCGTAGCTCTTTGTTTCATGAAATAAACTGTGAATTTGGGGGGGGAGGGGTGTGTGTGCAGGCTATGTAAAAAATTTAAATGGAGAAGTTTGATCCTGAAATAGCTTCTCTGAAGTAGGCTTTGGTAGGTAATTGACTTGACAGCCGCTCTAGATACGTCTCACAGGACAAGGAGTGAGGGAAAGGTGGGCCATGATTGGCCACTTTGTGGTTTTGTTTTGGTTCTTTCCATTCTCCACCATTTACTTCCTTCCAGACCTGCCTGGGAAAACAATTTTTGAGCTGTGCCTGGTTTGGGGGAGGCGGTGGGAGGGTTTGGGGGGTGGCAGTTCTTTATCTAAATGGATGGACATCCAGGCTTTTGTAAGGGTTACTGACTCTCAGGTAGAATTAAACTAGAAATTCAGCTATCAGGCCCACTGACAGCAGCATCTGATATCAGATTGTTAACATCAAGAAAGCAGTCACCGTACAATTAGAAGCAGAGTTAAAGGACTGTTGGGAAATTGAAACTCTGGCATGAGGGACAATGGGGAGGGAGTGACCCTGCCATCCTTGGGGACTCTCCCGGAGCCTTGTACTGAGACCTTTTCTCTAGAGGGTGTGAATTGGCAGTTAAAAGGAAAGCTTTTCTCTTAGAAACTCCTGATCTTTGTGCAGGATGGTATTTTGGTATTTGGCCAAATGCCTGGAAATTAAGATCTCAAGAGAGAAGTGCCTCTAAGCCTGTCCCCAGGAAACGTTTCCAAAGGGGAAGTCACAGCTTCCATAGGTAGCTAAAGAATCAGTATCTGTCCTCGCCCTGTTAAGTCAGAAGAACTTTATGGAAACTGCTGAGATTTGGATTCAAAGCCTCATTTGCTTCTCCTGCTGGAACAAACCCATTCTAATAGCAAAATAGCTATCATTGCTATAGAAGGATCCCAGGTTTTTAAATGTCTGCTTCCCCCTGAAGTTACTGAGTTTGAGGTGACTTAAGTCACTGTGTTGGTCCTCTAATGAACCCAATCTGCATCTTTAGCATTGATGGAAATAATTATTTTATCTTCACATTCTCTACCCCACACTACAGTCGGAGCACTAAGTGCATCAGTGATCCTTTCCCAGGCTCAGTAGCATCTCCTCACTGGAGCTGGACTCCCAGGTCACATCATGAGAACAGAATGGCAGGAAGGATGTCTGGTCCTGGCACCTTCCCCTGTGGAAAGGAATCAGGAAAGCACTAAACGTGGATGGATTTTGCCCTCAGCTCCTATAAAGTGGGTTTTCTCCTAAGGCTTTTTAGGAGGATCTTGTCATCCTCTTGCGATTCGTCAACCAGGAGGTCAGAGTGGTCCAGTCTGCTCACCTGAGATCATGGCAAGAAAGGAGCTGCCACAAGCCCCTTCTCCTGCTAAGTAATGCTTGGACTGTTTCATGTGCTAGACATTCCAGATCACTTAGAGCTAGGTAGCTGCTGCATGAGATTTCCATTGGCTGTAGCCAGTTAGCTCTCAGCTGAGCTTCCTAGGGCCAGTGCAGCAGGGCCAGAGGTTGCTGTAGTACAAACTGAAATAAGAATAGATAATTGCTTTGAACACAAAAAAATGTAATGATGGTGCTAATTTTCTGGTATAAATAAGCACTGCCAAGGGTTGAGGGACTGGTGAGTTAAGAAACCCAGGTTCCTGTTTGGGAGGAAGAAATTCTAGTAGAATCGTTTCTTTGAGGCTCAATTAGAGAAGGCAGAGCCTCAGTGAAGCCTGCACCCGACCCTGGAGTGGATCAGTGTAATCCTAGGTGGAAGAGATGCTGTATCCAGATGAGGGTGGCCATTGAGTTTCTCAGGGCTGGTGTCACCTTGTCACCGGGTGTAGCCTCGGTCCACAATGCCTAGAACAGGTTGGTAGAGAGCTCCGCCTGTGGGGTTCTCTTTGTGTTACCTTGTGCCCCTCTCTACCTCTTCTACTCTCATGGGAGCACCTCAGTTGGTTATGAAGATTAAGGGTAATATTTCTTAAGGAAGTGGAAAGAGTTTATTTTAATTAGAAATCCACAGCCTGAGAAATGTTTCCTACCAGTGTAAGCAAAATCATGTTAAACTCTCATGTGGTCCCTTCTCTAGAGCTGCTTTCCCATGACTTTCAAACCATCAGGCTATTGAGGGGCTTGAGGTCTAACACCCTGGAAGTCAAGTAAAGCTTTGTGGACAGGAGATGTGCCCAGGGAGTAGGAGCAGAGATGAATGGTTGTGGTGCTTTAGACTTCCAGGGTAGGGGCAGAGAACAGGCGGTCTCCAGGTCCGAGGTGGGTGCTGCCTGTGTGTGCGTGTAGAGGAGTGTGTTGAAGATGGGTGAGTGCAGCACACAGGAGCTCATGGAAGAGCAGCTTTCTAAGTCTTGGCAAAGAAACAAGCTGACAATAGAGATCTATATATTTTTAAGAAAGGGGCGGGGGGGGGTGTCAGCTGAGGTCCATCACTGGTCTTTTGCCCCTTCCTCCCCCCATAGATTGTCAGCTGTAAGTGAAACTCTTAGTGAAAAAGAGGGGAGCCCTGTAGGAGTCCCCATAAACATGTACTGTAATTCTTTGTATATAGAAAAAAAATTACTGTAAAGTAAAGTTTAACTTTACTCTTAATGGCCCTTGCCCTGTGTTTTGTTTGTTGTCCGTGGGGAGATGTAGCTTAACAGGAGGGAGGCTGGGCTTGGGGTGAGAGCAGAAACCAGCCTCTGAGATAGTTCCCAGGTTGGGGACATGGTGGAGGTGAGCCCCTCCTCTGAGCATCTCCAGGAGTGGTGTGGGTTTCCTCCCAGCACCACCAGCCGCCAGAATGTCTTTCACTTCTTTTGGGAGTGGCTGGTGTCAGTTTCAGCTCCTATACAGGAAGCTTCCATTACCCATAAAGGAAGGGTATTTTGAGGAATTGGTTTTTAAAAAGGAAGTGGAACTAAAGTTGTTTCTGAGCATTGAGTCTGACCATTCTGGCCATGTCTTTAGTTCTTAAGAGATAGGTGCTAGGCACTGCAGAAGACCTGGCCCAGGCCTAAGGCAGGAAAGCAGAGGCAAAGCCGCCAGGCCTTCAATACTGGAAAAGGGCTGCCGTATGGTTTTTAGCTGAACAGGAAGCACCAGTTCTATCCACCCTAACACCTGATAGTTCCAAGACCCAAAGATATACTTTGGGAGAGTCTTGGGAGTCTGTCTCTCCTTCTGACCTAGTCCTGAACTTCCTGCCCCTCAGCAGAAAGCCCTCCTGGGAATAGTGTGGAAAAGCAAACATTCAGTCCTAAAGTTAACTTTGTTCAGGGTCTTCACAGCCCTGAACTGGGTAGTGATCACCGGATTTTACAGATGAGAAACTCAGGCCAAGTTCAGGTACCTCTTCTGTTGATAGCTGAACTGGATTCCAGTCTGGATCTATAAGACCTTTCTGTCTTGCAGAACTTAAAATTTTCTTCCATTAAGCCACCTTGTAGTATGTTGCTGGGAAGCTTAGAATCTGAGCCACAGACATGACTCATGGACCTAGATGTGACAGAAGCAGTGGTAGAACCAGCCAGTCTGAGGTAGGAGTGCTTGACCCTTTGATCTCTGGACACCACTTAAGTGCCTGCCTTGCGTGAGCTTCGTATTGCCCCAACCCCAGCCCCTTACTTATCTTTGTCCCCCCTAAAGAACAGGAAAAGGCCCCTTTGTTTCTACATTATCTCAGATGCAATCCGGAGTGAAGTTACTTGGCTTCCGAAAGAGCTGAGAGTAGCCTTAATATAAGAAGTGAGACCAGCCAGGTGGCCCCAGAACTAGGTGTCTTGGCACCTAATCCACATAGCAGGGAGAGGGGCTGAGTGTGATTCACAGTGCATTGATTTTATTTACAAATCAAAAGCCACTTAAATAATCTGCAGACACAAGTGTTGTCCGGGACAGGAGCCTGGGATCCAAATAAGCCTTTACCCTCCTCATGCCCATCAGTCAGCCCAAAGCTGCCTCTGTTTCATGGGCCAGCACAGGCAGGTGCCACCTCTGCTGCCATGGGGACCAGGGGTAGCTCAGACGTACAACCACTCAAGCCCAGACAGGAGCTAGGTCTAGCCCTTCTCGGGGAACTCCTTTAATTCCCCTAGGCCAGGTGAATGGTGGTGACTCAGTGATGACAACAGCTGTAGAAGTAGGGGTTTGCCTTCTGGCCCAGGTCCACGCCCTTGTCCTCTGTCAAAGAGAGGTGGCAGCTCAGCACCATTCTGTTTGGGGATCAGGTAACTCGTGAAGGGGGCCAGATGCTGTGGGCCTAGAAGAAGTCTCCAGAGAGGCTGGGGATGCACACACACCTGTCATCACCTGGAAGGCAGCCACACTGACGTAATCCTCTGCCACTTTCTGGAAGAGCTCGTCTGGCAGGAAAAAGGACAAGTCAGTGAGGGCTGAAAGCCAGTAACCCTGGAATCACCCAGTAACCCAGCCCTCTAGGCTCTTCTCTGGCGCCCCTGCCTGTTCCTGCTGTGAGGACCCGGACAGCACTCACCCACACTCTGGCCTGTCTTGCTGGATGTTTCAAAGAGCTGAGCTTTGATATCTGTAAAGAGAAGTGACTAAAGCTTCCTACCTGAGAATCAGTTGGATACAAAGGGAAAGGCTAGCAGTTCAGGGAATCTAACAGACCCCACACCTTCAGGGAAGCCAAAAGACCTTCCCCAGGGGTCTTGGCATGGCAGCTAAGGCAGTCCCTGTTTTCTGTGCTCCACCCAAGCAGCCACCTCCCTTCCCCACTCCCAGGATGCTGAGCAACAGCTACTCTCTGCATAGTCCTGGACGTCGTGGAAGTCCACACGACGACGCCGCCTGTCCTCCTCCAGTAGGTCGCTCTTGGTGCCACACAGGTAGATCTGACAGCCCTGGAGCAGAAGACAAGGTCAAAGTCACTCCCGTGGACCACCAGGCCCTAGGCCTTTGGTGAGGTCTGGCACTTACCTCCTCTAGGTTGCGCAGTTCCTTCACCCAGAACTTTGCCCGCTCAAAACTGCTGCTGTCCGTCAGGTCTTGATAGGGGACACGCAGAAAACACAACCAAGGATCAGGGGCTGTTCTTTGAGGCCATCCTGACACCCACCCCCTCTTGTTTGAGGAACAGGCCAGAACCCCTCTTACCATAGCAGACGATGGCAGCCTTGGCACCCCGATAGTAGATTCGACTCATGGCCTCGTAACGCTCAGAGCCTGCTGTGTCCTGAAGAGCAGGGGGCGGCTCAGCCCGGGCCTGAGTTACCTAGCTACATCCCCAAGACTGCAAACTAACACCACGTCCTCCAGACCCCTATTTTTAAACTGGGGTCTAGAATAGAAAAATGGCCTCTACAAGACAAGTCAGCTGATAATAGGCAGGAGAATGTACGCCTCTTCATGAATGGGTTTTCTCGGGACTGCGTGCCTAGGGGACTTACCCAAATACCTAGAGTCACCGTCCGGTCTCCAACGGACATCACCTTGGCCACGAAGGCGGCACCGATGGTCTGCAGTCAGGGGGAAGTGATCAGGGCCGCGGGTGCGGACCAGCTCCCTCCCCACTCGTGCCGGGCCCCGCGCGGCGCACTCACGTTCTGATAGGGCCCCACCAGGAAGCGGTCGTGCACGTATCTTTCCACCAGGCTTGTCTTGCCCACGTACTCCTTGCCCAGCATCACCACCTTGACGTCCACGCGCTGCCCGCTCATCCCGGGGCCGCCTCACCGGCGTCAGGGTCCTGAGCGGGGGCGGAGGCAAGCCCGGATCTCCGCTCGGGCAGGCAGCGCCCAAGTCTCGGTCCCCGACCCCAGGCGCCAACCTACGACTGGAGACACCGCGTCCGCGTCTGCCCCGCTGCTCGGCCCCAGGCGCTGAACCTCCTTCGAAGAGCCCAGGACTCGGCGCGGCCTGGGAGCCCGCGCGGCAGCGCCCTCAATGGCGCCGCATACCGCCACCCAGCTCCCTCGCCAGGCTTAGGGGTCGCTCCCGCACGGAATCCCCACGGAACCCGGGGGCCCCTTCAACCTGGATCCGACCCGCAGCGCCTCAACTCCCGCGGGGGAGGGGGGAGGTGGTAAAGGGTAAGGGGGCGGGGTCGTGGGGTCACGTGGGCGGGCGCCGGAAGTGGTGGGTACAGCGCCGCTGCGCCGGAAGTTGCGCGCGGCTCGACAACTCCTCATGGCGGCGGCGGCTCCTTGGGCGCGGCGCGGTGGTGACTGAGCTGCGAGCCTGGCGGGCGTGCGCCGAGCCCCGGTCCGGTCTCCGCGTGCCCCACCCCGGGCTTCGCACCCCTGATGCTGCGCGGGTGCTGAGCCCGCCCCGGCCGGGACGATGGTGAAGTATTTCCTGGGCCAGAGCGTGCTCCGGAGTTCCTGGGACCAAGTGTTCGCTGCCTTCTGGCAGCGGTACCCGAATCCCTATAGGTACGTGGCCCTGGAAAGAGCAATCCTCCCCATTCGCTGTTTGGAGATCGAAGTATGGGTCCGGGAGAGACTCGACATCGAGTCTGAGGTAGGGCACCGTCGGAACCGGGGCCATCTTTAGTGTAAGAAGACTCTATCCGAGAAGCGGCCAGGCCAGGCCTGCAAGGTAGTGGAAGGAAGCTGGGCCCGGGCGGTGGTTTGAGGCTGTAGTCCAAGGTTCTCTCATTTCGGGGTGGTGAGACAGGAAGAGGCAACGGCACAGCAGTTGGGAGGGATCTTGGGGTTGGAAATCCCGGCGCTGGCCTACTCCTCTGCCTGTGGCGTTCTCCACTGGTGTAATAGATCTTGAGGTCCAGTCCCCGCTGGAATCTGGTCCGCAAGAGGGCGGGAGTTGGAATTTGTCCTCGGATAGTCGCAGGGAACTCTAGTTGAGGTCTGAGCCACGCTACTTACGGTTGCAAGTTTGGGGAAGGCATGGCCATTCTGGGCCGGGAAGCTTCAGAGGGGAATCCCAGCGGGCAGTCTTTTAGCGGCATGCACCCGAGGGTCACCTTCATTCTGATACTTGGCAGCAAACATGTCTTGACGGAAGACATAGTGCACCGGGAGGTGACCCCTGACCAGAAACTCCTGTCCCGGCGTCTCCTGACCAAGACCAACAGGATGCCCCGCTGGGCCGAGCGACTGTTTCCTGCCAATGTCGCTCACTCGGTGTACATCCTGGAGGATTCTATTGTGGACCCGCAGAACCAGACCATGACCACCTTCACCTGGAACATCAACCACGCCCGGCTGATGGTGAGACTCCCCTCCCCTTTAGTTCCCCAAAAGTAGCTCCAGGTACATATGGCTAGGAAGCCATGGAGCTTCTATTATCTGAGGCAGATTTGGGTTACTGGGGAGTAAACTAGAGTGTAAACTCCGATGATTTTTTCAGCCAGTTAGTCTTTTCATTCATGCTGTGGGGTAGGGGTACTTGTTACAGAGTTGTCCCAAGTACTAAATACAGAGCACCTTCATTGTACCTGGCACACATATAGTTTGGGCCCACAAAAGTGATGCTGAGGGAAGGAGGCAGTGATTTTTCAAACAGGAATCCATCAAGCCATAAGCAATTTCTTTGAGCCTCTGAGGGGAGAGGATCTGGGCCCCTTGCCCATGATGATTAGAGGAGTTCCACTTTATCTGTCTTACGTAATGGGTTTTTGCCTGAGATTTTGAGGGGAAAGGTTCATATACCTCTTGATTTCTTGCCTTTAAAAAAGCTGGAAGGGGCACCTGGATGGCTCAGTGGGTTAAAGTCTCTGCCTTCGGCTCAGGTCATGATCCCAGGGGTCCTGGGATTGAGCCCCGAATCGGGCTCTCTGCTCAGCAGGGAGCATGCTTCCTCCCCTCTCTCTGCCTGCCTCTCTGCCTACTTGTGATCTCTGTCAAATAAATAAATAAAATCTTAAAAAAAAAAACAACCTGGAAAACCCATGGTTAAAGGAACATCCTACAGTATCATCTCACGTGTGAATACTGTAAAAGTTTTCAGAGAGCTCTCATTCTTATTCTCAGCTAGCTTCTTCACAGTGGCTCTGGGAGCTAGGTATTACTCTCCATTGTGCAAAGAGGGAAGTGAGGTTCCAAGAGAGGAAGTGCCCTGCAAGGTCACAGAGTGAGCAGGCACCTTGAGGTTCTGCCCCAGAGTTTTCTGAAGGCTTCACAGCTGACTACCCTGAGGGCATAATCTGTTTTTGTAAATTACAAATATAAATGATACAGCTGTGAGACATGTCTTGTAAGTGTTGCTCCTGGAAGTCCTGGTTCCAGGATACTGATAGCTGATAGCTGTGACGTTTGCCTGATTTCCATTTTTATTTCGCCTGCCAGGGAGCTCAGGAGCTGCAGTGGGTGGCAGGCAGGCTAAAACACTGCACCTAAAGCTACCAAACCAAGTCCAGGGTCAGGCTGGAGCTGGCACACACACTCCTGAGCTCGAGTCTATGTGCCTTTTAGTTGAAAGGGTCAGAGAAGAGGTTTTAGAGAGCAAAGTGGCCCTTTTTATGTTTTTGCTCTCTTCCTGAAATGAAGGTTGGGAACACAGTAGGGGAAAGAAGTGGATTTTTCACTTTATTGCCTTACCCTGTGAAAAAGAGGCAGGTGACCAAATTTATGTGCCAGTTGATGAAGTGAAAGACTCCCACCCAATTGTGGTTGGCCTGACTCCCTGCACAGGTGGTGGAGGAACGATGTGTTTACTGTGTGAACTCTGATAACAGCGGCTGGACCGAAATCCGCCGGGAAGCCTGGGTCTCTTCTAGCTTATTTGGTGTCTCCAGAGCTGTCCAGGTGAGCAGCATTGTGGGGGTGCTGGGGCTTTGGGAGCCCAGGCATTTGGCATGAAGGCTGGGCTAGGGGTCAGTGGGAAGCTCAGAATCCTAACCCTCTTTTCTTCTTTTGCCAGGAGTTTGGTCTTGCCCGGTTCAAAAGCAATGTGACCAAGACTATGAAGGGCTTTGAGTACATCTTGGCCAAGCTGCAGGGTGAGGGGCTCTGGGTACAAAAAGAGCTTGGGGTGCAGTCCTAGCAGCCCTGACGGGTATTGGAATCTGCAGCTGTCACCACCCCACTCTAAGCCTGGGACTCCTCATCTGTATCCTGGGGCAAATACCACCCTTCAAAAGGGGCCTGGCCCAAGGTGGGGGAATATTGGGGAGTAGGGGTGTGGAGGTGGGTCTTCTTGGAGTCTTCTGAATCCAGCCCCTGCCCTTTGCTGCAGGTGAGGCCCCTTCCAAAACCCTCGTTGAGACAGCCAAGGAAGCCAAGGAGAAGGCAAAGGAGACGGCACTGGCAGCTACAGAGAAGGCCAAGGACCTTGCCAGCAAGGCAGCCACCAAGCAGCAGCAGCAGCAGCAGCACTTCGTGTAGCTAGCCCAGGCCCCGGTGTGGTAGGACACCTGACCACCCGGCTCAAGTCCCTCTGCCTGTCCCCCTTGTACTTTATTATTAAAAGTCAACTTCCAGCCCCTTTCTGCTGTCTGGGTGGGTTGGGGCTGGGTGTCCTGTTCGGCACTGACAGTGCAGCAGGCACGTTGCCTACGTCTAAGCCAGGCCTGTGGATGCCCACATTCGGCACAGGGCGGGGCAGGGGCCTGCCCGGTCCCAGACAGCCTGCAGTACAGGGCTAGGAAGCGCCAGACTGTAAGCTCCATGAGGGCAGGGACGTTTGTCATGTTCTCTGATGTGTCCCAAGTACCTGGAACAGTATCTAGCACATAATAGGCACTCAAATAAATAGTTCTTGAATTCAGTGAGCCCTAGCTCTGGAGTCAGAAAACTTAGTTGGAACCTTGACTCCACACTTTCCTGGCTTTGGGCCTTGGGCAAGTCTTGTACTCAGTGCCACCTGTGAAACGGAGCAGCCTCCAGTTGTGATGATTAAAGGGGCACTGCCTGGTACGATGCACGGTGTCAGTCATGGCTACTGATCTCATTTCCTCTTTTCCAGTTTGTCCGTGACTGGGAGTTCCCCATTTTCATCAGGCAAGATCACGGACAGGAAGTTAGTAAAGAGGCTTTTAATGAAAATACTGTACAGTATCTGGGACAAAGGTCAGGGGGCCTTCTCTAGGAAGGAATGTGAGGGCCCAAGAGGCTTCCTGCGCCCCCCGTGGGGACAACAGAGCCAAGTGCTACAAAAAAGGCCTGGAAGGGTGGCCCAGGCCCAAGCTGCCTCCCCTGCAGGGCTCAGGGGAAACCCAGGCACCCCTCCCCAAGGAGGGACTGCCAGCAGCCAGCGGCAAGGTGGGGGGCAGGCACCTGTTCCCACGTAAGGGTCCTTTTAGTCCATTCCAAGCAGCCCTTGAGGCTTGGGGGGGGCGGGGCGCGGGTGGGCTCTCCCCTCAGAGCCAAGGGCAGTCTGTGGGTGGAGGCCTGCTCCCGGGTGGTGAAGGTCATAGCCAGGTGCCACTGCCATGTGAGTAGCTGTGCTCCTGGCCCGCGCTGAAGCTCCGTAGCAGCTCAGCCTCGCCCCCGAACACCAGGCTCTCCACGTCCACCTCCACCTCCTCTGCGCAGGCAGGGGTCCAGTCAGGAGACCTGGCCAGCTCAGCCCACGCCACCCCTGTGACTCCTTGGCTTCGGGGCACTCACCTTGGTCTGAGTCTGAGCGTTCAGAGGAGAGGCCCGAGGAGTCCAGGCTGTCTGCCCGCGGCCGCTCCCTCTCTCCCAGCCCTGCTGGTGCCCGGAGCTGCTCCAGCTGCCTCCGCAGGCTCTGCTGCTCATTGCGCAGCTTTTCCTTGAGCCGCCTCGCCTGCTGCTCTTGCTCCTCCAGCTTCTACAAGTCCCGAGGGAGCGAGGGCCCAGGGTCAGCTGCCTGGGGGCTCAGGCTTCACCCCAGCACCACTCAACATCGGACCGTGGCCAACTTGGTGACGGCCTGTTCCAGGCGGGGGTGACTGAATCTGGGCCCCAGAGGGTGGCTCCCATAACCTCCAGGGAGCCAGCCCTCCTGCCCTCTGGTTCCCTGTACATGCCCTGTGAGCACGCGGTGTGGGTAAGTTGGGAAGGGCCTCCCAGTCTCAAGGGCAGTCAGGGCCTCATCAAGTGATGGGAGTCTTTCCATGGCAAGCAGCAGGGACCGGGGAGGCCTGTGACATGGTGGCAAGTGGGCCCTACAGCTCAAGGAGGTGGCCCCCCTCTAGGTTCTAGCTGATTACAGCCATATGCAAACGGGCCTAGCACCGCCACATTGCCCAGTTTAAGAAAAGCTGAAAGTCAGACTCTTCCATGTCAAATATCCTTTTAAATGCTGGCAGCTAATTTAAATTTTTAGAAACTACAGACCAAAGCCTGTGGGTTTGTGACTCCTGGTTAAGACCCTCCCAGGAACCCTAGAACTTTAGCATTAATCCCCCTCACGCTCTGCCAGCCTGGGGTCTAGGGACTGGAGTGCCAAGGGTTCTCCCACCAGAGCCCTGGTTGGGCAGAAGCCTGCATTCAGTCAACAAGAACTGAACAAGGGGACATTTGTACTGGGTGTAGAAAGATGAGGAGGAGCTGCCTTGGCAAAGATGGGGCAAGAAGCAACATCCAAGCAGAGGGAAACTGGGAAGATCATGGAGGATTCAGCTTCCCTGGTAGGGCGTGGGAAGACATGAGACCTAAAGCAGACCAGTGGCAACACCTGGGCTGTTAAGGGCCTATAGTTTCATAGGAAGTAAGGAACTGAGACTCCTATCACGAGCCATGGAAATTTTTCAGCAGGAAACCAACCTGGACAGATCTCTGTGCTCCAAATTACATTCTAGGGCAATGTGGAGGGCAGCCCAGAGGAGGCAAAACAGGAGGCCAGGGAGTTAGGGCCTCAAGGAAGGAGCAATCCCCAGGTCTGCCCATGGGCCAGTCAGCCCCCACAGGGCACACATCATCCCTCCAAGAACCAGGCCAGGAGAGCTCCAGGTGAGAAACAGTCCTGCTACCAGGCTAGGGTGTTCTTTAGCACAATGAGTGGACGCGGGTACTGTGGGGCAGAGCTGACAGTCCCTGCACTGGGATTGATTTGCTGCATAGCATATGGATCTGGGTCTGCCACAGCCCCTGGTACCTAGAACAGGTGCTTGATAAACACCTGTTGAAGGAAACTGCAAGGCAGGGGACTTGGGCCTGGGTTATAACTCTGCCTCTCATTAGCTGTCCTCCTTGGTCCTTGGCCTGGCCGTGCCCCCATTTCTTTGTGAAGAGGGCCAGGATGGCAGGAAAAGGCCTCTTGTTTCAGAGGCCACTTTTAGTTCCCTGCTCCCCACCCCCAAAATCTGGGTCTGCATGGGGCATGAGCCCGCTCACCCCACTCCTGTCCACCAGGGGGCACTGAGCATAGCCCAGGCCACAGAAGGATGCTGGGAGGAGGAGTGACTGGCTTCCTCTGTCCTTCCCCTCTCCTGGTCTCTGGCACTGCCTCCCAAAATGGCATCAGAAGAGACAGCTCAGAACAGGAAGCCTTGGAAGGACAGGAGAGCGGAAACCTCTGCAGTCCTAGGGACCCTGACATGGAACACACCAGAATGTTTTCAACAGCCATACCCGTCTGTAGAGAGAGGGAAACCAAGTCCAGAGAGGCTGAGTGATCTTCAGTTAGGACTGAATTGATAATAGCCCTGATAACCATGAACATTTATTGGGCAAACTCACTTAAGCCTCAGAACAATCCTCTTTGAGTTGTTTTCTGTTTTTTTCCTACTTAACACAGTGGAAGCCAAAAGCACAGAGAACTGTCCCATGTCCCACAGCTGGGCTATTACCTCAGGCCTCTCCCCAGTTGCACGTAGCCCCCCCCCCCCCCCACTACACGTCTCACAAGTTCTGGAAGGCTGGCTGCAGGGCACCGCAGGAACTTTTTACCTGGATGTGCGTCCTGGCCCAGCGCAGAAGGCTCAGGGTGGTGTAGCGGGCACAGTCAGCCCCCAGGGGCATCTGCTGTTTTAGCTGCTCCAGGCACCGCTTCAGCTGGGCCCTCCTGCGGGGGAAGGGATCTGGAGGGCAGTGCCAGCCTAGCCTTGCTGGCCAGACAGACAGCAGGGGAGGGAAGGCCAGAGGCAGATGGTTCCTGGGGCCCAGTGCTGTCAGGGCAAAGCTGGGACTCACCTGCGTTTCTCCAGCTCGTTGTGCACAGACCTGCCAATGCCAGGGAGGATAGGTGAGGGGGCGTCAGCTACTACCCACACCCTCAGTCCTAGGGACTTAAAATCCACTAGAGATGTGGGCCCCAAACTAGCCTAATGTGGGGCCCTTGTACCAGCCTTGAGCACTGGAGCCCGCAGGCAGAGGCAGAGATACCAAGCCAAATGCTAAGAGGTCTGCCCAGTGGTTGTGGGGTCCAAACGAGGCCCCCTGAACAGCAGTCAGGAACTGCTTCTTGGACAGAGGTGCCAGTTGAGCTGGGCCAGAAACATGCTACCCAAAGTAGAGTGGTGGAGGGAGAGGCTTTAAAATTGGAGGGATTAGCATGTGCAAAGGGATGAGAAGAGAAAAGAGAAGTCTGGGGGGAGGGGGGACGGGAATTGAGTGGAGATGCAGAGTGCAAGAGTGTGAGTGGAAGGACCCTGAAGTCTGTTTATGGTTTCTGACCCATCGGGGTGCTCAAGAAATAGTCCCTGAATGAACAGAGGGGAGTAAGGAGATGGCAGGAGAGGTCTGAATTGCCTCCAGAGTAGGGGACCTGGCCCAGAAGATACAAGCAACAAGGAGGAAGTGGGCAAAGGTGAGGCCCCATGAGGGATGGCACCCATCCCCCCTCAGCCCCCAACCATCCCCAGCCTTCCTCACCGCCCACTGTCCAGCGCGCCAGAAGCTTGGGGGGATCGCTTCCTCCTCCTGTAGACTGGGCCTGGACTGCGGTGCGGGCACAGGGACGCGTAGCCATGCTCGGATTCTGCCAGAGAGAACCCCAGCCCGCTTCAGCCTGGGGCTGGTCCCAGCAGGCGCCCCTGGCAAGGCACGGTCAGGGAAGGGCTTTTGGTGCCAGGGCCATTTCCCCAACCCCTCCCTGTCCGACAGCCCGGGGACCCCTCCCCGGAACAACTTGAGGGCGGGGTGCCCTGGGGCTACTGCCTAAAGTCATGCATGCCATCCTTGTTGGGAGCCAAGTCCAGCCCAGGCCTGTGTCAGCGAGGTTGCCGTCTGGAGACCGGCCAAGAGTTCTTCCTCACCTCTCTCACGGCGCTCTAGGAACTCCGCCGCCTGCAGCAGGACCTGGATATTGCTGGCCACGGATTCCATGTCGGCGACAGCTGGCGGCGGGCGGGCCTAGAGTGCTGGCCCTAAGAGCGGCTGCACCACTTTTGTTACAATGTAACTGACACGGTGCAACAAACACAGGGGCCCGGCCCCGCCCCTGGGTCACCCCGCCCCTGGGATGGCCTAGGCCTTGGCCCCGCCCCTCCCCCAAAGGGGCCAGGGAACAGCCAACCACCTCCTCGAGCCCGCCCCCCCGCTCAGACTCCCGGGGCTGCTATGGGCGCCGGTTCCAGG